TGGTTTGGGTGAGAGGGCGCGTGGAGGGGAGAGGATGGAGAGGGGGGGAGGACGGGGGAGAGGGGGGCGTTTTGAATCGACCAAGTCCCGTGTTTGGTTCGCACACAAGCGCTTGACCTACATTCTACAGCCAATCCCGCGCGCGGTTTGGGCTTGTCACACACTCGTAATAGACACACGCATAGAAATACACACACACATACACTTAAACACACACATACACACGTACACGTAAACACACTCACGCACACATAAACACAAGTATACGCACACACACACCGGTGGAGAGAAAGGAAACGTGAGCCGCGTGGGGGAGTGATCTGGGAGTCACGCAGAGCACCGCCCACTCTGCACGTGCTGGAGCTGACAGCCCGAGCTCGTGGAGGAGAAGAGGTATCACTCTGTCGCACAAACACATTCATAAATAAAACACAGGCGGGGGTTCTTTCTCCGTGCGATCTGTGGAGCCCAGAGAAACACGTTTGCAAAGAACATGAAGTCCTGTATTTATACAAACGATAAAACATAGTCTGTTGTAAGCTGCTAAATAATGAGGCTTTTAAAATCATAGAGCTTTGTCCTCCCTGCTGCTGTCAACTGATGAGTGCTGTCTAATCCTGTCTAGAATAGATTTGGCTAATGTCAGTTTCCACCAGCCCTTCTCGGCTTTACTCTACTTTAACTGGTTGTGTTTCCATTACGCGTCAGTATCTGGCACCGTATCCAAGCAACCTACCCACAATATCTGAGGATATTCCTTGGCTTCCAGTAGCACTTGTGCCAATCACTGCCAGTTAGATCACTTTAGTACCAGCTCGGCCTGGATAGAACCAGAACCAAGAGGGAGTGGAGTAAAGTAGGCCATATTGCTATCTAATACTAACAGTAGAGTAGAGTGAGAGAGAGTAGAGCTGGTGGAGACAGGGTCTAAATGTCTTTTAGGGTGGTCTTGAATTTCTTCTTGTTGGATGAATAAAGTGTCGACTTCTCTGGCAGACAAATCCAAGTATCAATATCTGGAGATGGGTTCACAGCATAGACTGTACCCACTAGCTCAATAAATTCCAATAGGGAAGTGCTCACTCTGGGAAGTGTCACTCTGGTACCCTCTATAGCTTAGAAATAGTCTGTGTCACACTGATTTTGGGGTTAAAAAAAATCAGCGATTTAATGTTCTGGGTGATCCTGGTGTTAATAATTTGTAAATCCACATTAGTTAAATTTTTGTCCCTGTAGGGAAAGTAGTTTTCTGCATTTGACCCATCCTTCATTGCCACTAGGGCCTCTGTCGCCATGGTAACAGGGGCTCCAGATGTTGATGCTCTTCAGGACCTGAGCTGGATTATCTACCTGTTGGACATGTTTTTTGTGGAAGAGGAAACCTACGGTAACACGGGGAAAACATGCAAACTCCACACAGAAAGGCCCTTTTCTGTCCGGGATTTGAACCCAGGTCCTTCTTGCTGAAAACGGAGAGCGCTAACCATTGAGCCACATAGATATGAGTCATGAGCATATACTGTAAATATTAACGGACGTAGTCACGCCTATCTCCACCGTTCAAACAAATGGGCCAAAATTTGTGCTCTACTGAAGCTATCCAAAATGGCCGCGAGTGGTCCCGCCCACAAGAAAATTGTGAACAAACCCATCTGCGCATGCGTCAGCCGATGCGAGCCCCATTCATTTCACGAGTGCCTTCAAAAATTCACAGCAAGTAAACTAGAGTGATCCAAAAAAATTCACCCCCCTCAGCATTGACACACATGTGGAACGGAGCTTTGGGTCAAGAGCCAACTTTTGGACCATCCTGTAAAGACGTTATCGAGAGGTAAGAAGATGCTATATGTTAGCATTGGCTAATTCTTATTCCAGGCCCACCCCCATCGGCCCGGGGTGGTATAGGAAGCATGTCAGCGCTCGCCATTTTGACCACTTTTGAGCCGGGACCCTGGTCATGAGGAAGCGAAGCTCACACTGTCGTACCATATGCCCTTATACGGAAAATGGCTCCAGCTAGCTCGCGTTCAATTCGGCTTCTTCTACACCACGGCTAACTATGGTGATGTCACACTCGGTCAGTCCACTCCTGGTACACGCTCTATGGCACACTGCTCCTGACAAAATTTAAAATTTCCCTGTGTACAAATACATATGAAATGGGTCAAAACAAGAGAGTTGAATGCATATGTGTAATTCCCTAAATCACAACAGCAGTCGTCTCAGAGGACTTTACAAAATTGTCGATTCATCAACGAAAGATCAGAGAATAAAACACAGGAAATGCAAGAACAACAAACACATATGAGCATTGGTCCATAGGGAGCGGGTTATCACTGTCCTTAGACCCTACTGCAATCTTATCTCCCCTGAGTATGCAGAAATCCAAACACATTGACAAGTCTGAGGATTCCTCTGGATCAAGGCAGCGGGAGACAAAAAACTGGACACGATTGACCTGTTTATTTTCAGATAATTTTTTTTTTTTTTTTTAGAAAGAATGCAAAACTAAAATGTCCATGATAGAGGCACACAGTGTACTCAAAAACCTTCTCCTTCAGATCTTGTATCTTGGTTTGATTCAGATTCATTTATTTGCCATCTGCAGTAAAACCACATTGGAATACATACAAAGTCCCCAGAGTGATGTGTTGAGGCTCACACAGGTCACCCACGTCTTAGATCAATAACATCCATTTAGCACACTTATGCCTGTAGGGCAGAGGTCACGTCGTGTCCATTCAGGTCTGACCTCTTTGAGATCTACAGAGAAGAGATACAGTAGGATTACAGGAGGTCAACGTGAGATCAGACCAGGGGTGTCCAAACATTTCAGTAAGGGGCCACTTTAGAGAAACAAAACTTTCAGGGGCCGACAACCTGGGAACTGTTTTGACTGGAGACGGGCTATTCTGAGCTTTAACAGAGCTGAAGTTGGCTGAATGACATCTCACCAGCGTGTTTTTAGGATCACAGTAGTATTTTTGTTTTAGTTCTGATTTCAATAAAAATCCAACAAACACATTTTTGATTTCTGGATATAATGACATTCCAGCTTTTACAACAAATCACACAACAACATGTAACTAATCACACCCAAAGTACACGAAAGTACATCTGTGTTAGAATCATTCAATAACAATAACAATGCATTTGATTTATATAGCGCTTTTCAGGACACTCAAAGACGCTTCATATGTCACTATTTTTTTCACTCCACACACAGTGGTGATAAACTACTACTGTAGCTACAGCTTCACTTTGGAAGTTCGTCACTTTACAGCTATAGCTGCCCCACTGCGGCACCTGGTGTTCCCAGAGGTCTCCCATCACAGTACTAACCATGCCCTGCCCTGCACAGCTCCAAAGGATGACAGGGACTGGCCTCCTGCTGGTGCCCAGAGTCAGGACTGGACATAGGGAGACAGTGTGTGAGATTTCATAACACTTTGAAGCAACTTTTGTTAAAGTTACACTCATCATTCTATCAATGTGCAGAAGCCAGTACTTTTCCCTTGTTGTGTCTATCTGAAGGCCAAGCTACAAGCACACCGTGGCAGCTGCTGATTGGAGGTCTTCATGCCTCCGCTCTGTATAATACACTTGCATTCTGTTGTATCTGTGATCGTGTGCTTTGTTTGTGCTGTCTCTACCATCGACAATAAAACATGTCTTCTGTCTGAATGTAAGACGCGATCCCAGACTTGGCACATCTTCTTCAGGTGGTGGAAGGATGCGGGCCTTGTCTGTAACATCTAGAGAACAGAAGACTACTTTTTTTTACACAAAAAGTGTTTTTTTTTTCAAGCCAAAACTGAAAAACCTCAAGAGAAACCATGCATCTGGACCAGCACACATGGACTATCTGCACAGCCCCTGATTCCACTCAGGCTGTGAGCTGCTGAGACATGGACAAGACCATCGTCCTCTTTTGCATGGACATAATTTGGAAAAATTGGATTACACAATTTGGACATGATTTGGAACAATTGGATTTCTGAATTTGGACATAATTTGGACTGAATTTGATTTCTGAATCTGGACACTGAAGCTGAAACGTGTGATTGAAAGACACGTCACAGAAGAATTCATGGCTCGACACAAATGCAGCCTGAAGAAATCAACACAGAGAAGTGGGAGAGACTGTTTTCAAAGCAATATCTGGAACCATCGACTGATGAAGTTTGGTATTTTACTGAAGATTGTTGACAAGTTTTATGAAAGATCTGAAAATGTTTTATGAGTTTTCTGAGTTTTTGAAGTATTCCGAGTTCTGAGTTTTTTGAGGTACCGAGTGAAGTACCGAGTTTATGAGTTTTTGAAGTATTGAGTTATGATGTTATGTTGCTGTTTATTGATCCTGATGGTCACACGTGAATGTATGACCAGAGGGGGGAATGTGAGATTTCATAACACTTTGAAGCAACTTTTGTTAAAGTTACACTCATCATTCTATCAATGTGCAGAAGCCAGTACTTTTCCCTTGTTGTGTCTATCTGAAGGCCAAGCTACAAGCACACCGTGGCAGCTGCTGATTGGAGGTCTCCATGCCTCCGCTCTGTATAATACACTTGCATTCTATTGTATCTGTGATCGTGTGCTTTGTTTGTGCTGTCTCTACCATCGACAATAAAACATGTCTTCTGTCTGAATGTAAGACGCGATCCCAGACTTTGTCATCTTCTTCAAGTGTTTCAAATTAATGCAGCTTGCATCTTCACTCTTTATAATGTACTGTGATTATTTAAGCCTTATATTTTTTATCTTGCTTAGCGTATGAACAGTGCTATACATATAAACTTGCCTTGCTTATGAGTCTCATGTGTTAAGTATTTCATTTTAACTTGTCTTGAGAGCCAAATCAATTTCCTAGTTTGTTACTTCCTGTTACTCACAATGGCAACAAAACATCATCCTGATTCCCGAATCACAAAAACACATTTTTTTGGACAATATTCCATCTTCCAAGTTTCGCCTAAACATTTTTACAAACCGATCACATGCACCGCGTCAAAAAACACTCGCACATCATTCTCTCTTTGTCATACAACGCGCAGACACCGCCTTTTTTCTCGCAGGCAGAGTGAGCGCTCCTGTCGAGTAGATCCGGAGCCTAGTTTGCATAAAATGTGTGTCAGTAGGGCAGTGCGCGCTCACATGCCATGCGCACATGCTCCAAAAGCCTCCAACAGCATTCCTCTGTCCGAGCCGCTCTCTCTCAGCCAATCACAGCTCAGCAAGATTAAAAAAAAACACACACACACAGAAAAAAGGCGAGGTGGGGGTTATGGCAAAGAGCTCAGCGTGACAGAGAGAAAGAGAGAGAGACAAGCAGGCGCATAGAGAGACCAGGGAGGAGAGAGAAAAAAAGAAAAAAAAAGCAGTCACATTTTCAAGGCACCTCAAAACGTGCGCTCTATTTTCGGACTCGTGCGTCTCTTATTGACGAGTAGGGGTGTGTTCTGAGCTTTACTTCCACCCGGTCATGTTTTGGTAGTGACTGTACAAGCCTGCAAGCAGAGCAACGCCTCGGGTTGTCTTGTAATCTATAGAGAAGCAGGAGCATCTCTGTTCTTACGCAGAGCCTTCCCACAGGACACCGCTTTTTATTTCTGGACTCGAGCGTCTTAGTTCCATTTTCTTTTTCCACGTTTTGTTTCGAGCCAAGAGCCGCTCAATGCTCTGCTGCTGCCGCTTTTTGGACACTTTCTCTCCGACTTGGCAGTTCGCGCGTCTTTGCCCCGTGTCTACAAAACTCTTGTGAGAGACGAGCCGAGAAAGAAAGCAAATAATTTTTACACGTACGCGAAGTGCAAGCTGAGCCCAAACGAGGAGATCATGGACAACAGCCCTGGTGGTGGTACGTGTCTCATTCATTTGTCTAAAGATATGTGTATTTTAAAGATATGTGCCTTGTATTTTGGCGTCGGAATCAATCTGGTTTTGGTAATTGTTGGGTGTATAATGCAGGCTATAGTTCTCTCATTCATTCAGTTATATTTTGGCACAGTCTCCCTCTGCGCACCTGTGATATTATTTCAATGTCTTATTCTCTAGAAGGAGGACAGAAATGATAGAGGACATTTGTTATGCACATTTATTGACATTTTTGGACAGTGGTCATCCCGTTTCCTATGCACCAATGGCTCCTATGTGTTTGCTTTTATTGCATATCCTGTGTTCGAACTGCTTGGTTCTCTGATCTGTTGTGGGCGAATCTACAACTTTGTAAAGTCCTTTTAAAGACGACTGCTGCTGTGATTTAGGACAATATTGAGTTGAACTTGAATGATGATACATGTGGACGGAGTTGATTACATTCTACAAAGTACTGGCTGCGGGGTTCATTCATCTGTCATGTTTTACGCACGGACACAGACGCACGACTCCTGCACCTGACGTCCTCCGACACGTCTCGCTAAAACCGTGACAAGCTTTTATTCGAACTTGTCTTGTGTCTGCGCGGCTGCAACTCGATATGCAGCACTTCTACACGTGACAAAGTTGAGGGAAATCCACCCGTTTGACTATAATCTCCTGCGAGCGCATGCGTGCCATGGATCTATATCTATATCTGTGTTACAATGTCACGTCTCCAAACGCGCTCTCGGAAGTGTCAGCTCCTCCCTCGCCTCCTCACCCACCCCCCCCCCCCCCCCCCCCATCTCCTCTCTCCTCTCTCCTCCCCTTTACAGCCTACATGGACCCATACGGCACATATATACATCGCGCGTTGCATGTAAACAGCCCTTGCACGTGAAGTAAGGGACGTCCCGAAATGCCCTCTCCCCGGGCACGTTTCGCCACCCCCTGCTCTCATACCTATAGCCTATATTTTATACTGTACGCACGTGTAGGACTTGGATAGAGCTCGGGAAGTGGCACACCTCGGATAAAAAAAAAAAAAAAAAAAGTTGTATATGCCCCGCCAATGTTTTGATACAGGTGTCAGAACAGACGCGTCTATTCATTTTTGGGGACAGTGCACGTTGGGGTGCGTTTCTCTCCTGTCCCAGCGTATTTAACCACATTTTATACTTTGACACAGTTTTATATGGGGCATGTCCCACTTCAGAATCAAAATTTCAGATTTTTTTTAAATAAGATGTCACAAACTATAGGAAATTGCTTTAGCTCTCAGTGTAAATACAGCACAAATATATAATAATAATAATAAAGCATGCATAAAAAAAAATAAAAATCTATATAACATTTCTTAAAATCATTACTATATGAATTAAGTGCACTTTATAGAGTCACATTTGAGACTGATTGACATCTGCCAACATGAGTGAATGGGTTGTTTTGTCAATTATTTAACCATATTCAGTGAAGACATTGCTTACACATTAGCTCATAAGTGAAGATTTGGACTGACTGAACAGAAAAGTTAATTTTGAGGAAATTTATCTTAGACTCACAGGCTGGGACATTGAAAATACACATAAGAAAGTCAGACAAACACAATTTTTATCATTATCAATTTCCAACCAAGCAATGTGTTCTCCCTGTGTCTGCGTAGGTTTCCTCCGGGTACTCCGGTTTCCCCTACAACTAAAAATATGTACAATAGGTCTGGCATGCGCCTCCTGTTCGGCGACCCCACTCCTGTCTCTGTGTGGAGTGAGAGGACAAGTGCCCAAAAAATAACAATTGTAAACCGCTTTGTGACTCTGGTCTGTGAAAGGCGGTATATAAAATAAAGCTTACTTACTGTACTGGACCAGCACTGGGTGTGTTTTGGTTTAGGATTCAGATCTGCGTAAATAACAGTGGAATACATACACTATTTATAAAAAAAACTTGAATTCCTGCACAAGAATTTCTGAATGGATGAGTTCTCTCCAAACCTTTCCCGTCAACCCCCGTGACTGTGAGCACGTATATAAACATCTCTTCTGTCTCCTGGACCCACCACAGCGCGCACCGGATCGTGTTTCGGCTTCGGCACCGAGCCATTTGGGAACGCACCACCAGCGCATCCCATTAATACACTGACCTATTATTCCCAAACGTCTAAAAATAACACTGGCCTTAGAGATATTGGTATTTATCGCCATGACGATTGGACACAGGAGTTCAATCATTCCACACACATTCTGGCACGGAAAGACTTAAATATAATCTGGGAATGAATCATTTGACATCTATTTTACAGTATTAACTTATAGGTCATACAGCAGCCGGAGAAAATATATAAAGTTGGACTTGTCTCATTATGGACCGCCCCAAGGTTTCTCCATTTTTTCCCAGCCCTTAAGAGATTTCCTGTGTTCGAACTCTTTGATTCTCTGATCTGTGTTGGTGAATCCACAACTTAGACGACTGCTGTTGTGATTCAGGGCTAGACACAAATATATTGAATTGAATTGTTATAACTTGTATTTATGGCTTACCTTTTAATGCCAACATTTCAAATCAATGTGTTTTACCAACCAAAACCACAATATATAATGATATAATAATAATAATGATAATAATATTAACCCCTCTTCTCTCTTCCTCAATATAAAGTCGCATTTGTGAAAAAATAGAAATAAAAATAAAATAATATAACAAGGCAGAACATGGACGGATATTTTGAATTCGAATGCATCCCAAATCTACCCACGCTCCTTGTCTCACATTCACCTCCTGTAATCTGTACTTCCTTTCCTCGCTTCCTTACTTCCTTCCTTCCTTCCTCCTCTCTCATTCGAATCCTCACCCCTCCCCGCGCGTCTGCAAAAGCCCGCACGTGTACCCGCCCAGTCGTCCACGTGCTGCACATGACAAGCCCGCGCCCGCGCCTCCCCCCACGGGCACGCGAGCACGGGGATCCTAGTGCACGCGCGCCGGTCACTGGGTCACAGCAGGTTACAGCGACGGAAGCACGAGGCTGCAGCCCCGCACGCGCACACGCAAACACATCCAAGACACATCCTCGACGTCGGTTCGAGTCCGGGCTTCGGCGAGTCCAGGAATTGCATGTTTTTTTTGCTCGAATGCTGCGGTTTGCTCATGTAGGTCACAGGCAGAGGAGCGACGCATTGGCACACATTCGAAATTGGAGCTATATTTTGCGATGCAGTCTTGTGTTTCAAGTAATGGGCATTTCTCAGCTCAATATTATTACAAGATCCCCTGCTGTATTTAGTGGTCTTTTACTAGTGAAATATTACACTAGTAAAAGAAGAATATTACAGTATTTTAGTTTTTTAGTGAACATCAAATATGGGGTTTTCAATCTAAACCTATTTTGGATGAGAAAACACTATTTAAAGCCATAATAAACGGAACGAATCCATCATCAGTTTTCACGTCCTTGTATTTCTGGCCTCTGTCACATCTTTAGATCAGCTTTTTCAGATAGAAAAGTGAAAAAGACTGACTCACACGGCTCTTCCTTATAAGTACGCTCAATACTTTCTGATGGGATAAACTACATATGTTATTAATTAATTTAAAACGTTATTTTACCCAATGACCCACTGAATGATTATGAAGTTATCGTCGGTGTCCGTAGTAACTGCAGAAATGAAACCGCAGAGACAGCCTGGCACATGTGGAAGCTAGCATCTTGGTGCCTGTTTGTGCTGCAACCCTCCTCCTCCCCATCATCTCCTCTTCATTGGAGGGATCTTTTTCACATGATTTGGTTTTCTAATGAGCATATTGTCTGATTTGTTAGCATTCCCCTTTTACAATACTCTTTCTGTTGGGATAAACAACATGTATTATTTATGAATCCAACCTCATCTTGAACTGTGTCCTATATGAGTAATGCCCATTCCATGACCTGCTGATAAAAACTAATCAGTCATCGATTATCCAGCAATAAAACATCCTCCCTCGCTTCCGATCCAGTCTGTCAAAGTTTACTCATAGGTCCATAAAACACACGTGACAGACAGAGGTAAACATTTCTCTGTCTCTTAAAAAGCCTCCTTACACGTGCGGCTACCTCTGCGCATGAATGAACGTCAGGGCGTGTTCCGTACATGACACACACACACGGGCTTTGTATGGTGCCGTGTGAAGAGGAGGGGTGCAGGGGTGGGGTGAGCCAGGATTTCCCATAGAGGAGGAGGTGGGTGTAGTCACGTGTCAATCCCTGTGCGCACATTGGACTGACCGAGCGCATGTTTCCCACCAGCTTAGACTGAACTCTGCAGCATTCCTGGAAGCGCAGGTGCCTGGCTGGGAAAGAGGAATGTTTTTAAACCTCCCAGTGAAAGGCTGGGTTTAGTGGACAGACCATGTGTAGGTCATGCTCCAGCTGTGGCTTTTCTTACCTGTGGATGTGAAATATGAAAAACATTTAAATCCCTTTCACACAGCAATAAGTGGAGACAAAAAAAGAGTTATCTTAAACCTTATGGCAAAAATTCTCCCTTGGAATGAGAAATGTATTGCAAATGGGCACCAGGGGCAATTCATTTTAGCAGCATAGGGCAGAGAGACCAGAGAGGGACCAGAGAGAGCTCAGAAAGAGACCAGAAAGAGACCCGAGAGAGATCAGAAAGAGACCAGGGCGAGACCAGAGAGAGACCAGAGAGAGACCAGAGAGAGACCAGGGCGAGACCAGAGAGAGACCAGGAAGAGACCAGAGAGAGATCAGAAAGAGACCAGAAAGAGACCAGAGAGAGACCAGAGAGAGACCAGGGCGAGACCAGAGAGAGACCAGGAAGAGACCAGAGAGAGATCATAAAGAGACCAGAGAGAGACCAGGAAGAGACCAGAGAGAGATCAGAAAGAGACCAGAGATAGATCAGAAAGAGACCAGAAAGAGACCAGAGAGAGACCAGAGAGAGACCAGGGCGAGACCAGAGAGAGACCAGGAAGAGACCAGAGAGAGATCAGAAAGAGACCAGAGAGAGACCAGGGCGAGACCAGAGAGAGACCAGGAAGAGACCAGAGAGAGATCATAAAGAGACCAGAGAGAGACCAGAAAGACGAACTTTGAGTAGGTGAAAACAACTGAAACATGGGCAAAACTAGCAAAAAGTCAATTTTGCACTTTAGAAATACATATTTACTGCCCTATAAAGGACTGAAGGACCTTCCCTAAGCTTGTAAACAGCCTCGACAGCAGCGGATCCCAGGTGACCAGCGTGAGTCATCAGGTTAAGTGGACTTGGGTCGTGACCTCCGCGGCGCATACGGCAGGAGACTAGAGGTCTGTACGTAATGTTGCAAAGTCAACTCGCCCACAGTGACAGACGGGAGGTGAACCGGCTGGAGAGGCTTTGGGACACGTGGGGACCCAGGATTTAAGGCACTAAACCAACGCGCCGCTCCTGTTTAGACTTAGCACGTGGACTTTCAAGGAGACCGGAACCGGAGGCGCGAAAGAGTCAAGGTCCCACGCACTTAGCACCCAACGCACTGATGGACAAGCGGATTTGGACAATCCACATGTACAACGTATCAAGGTGTTGAAACGGGAACAATCGGGGTTTAAAATAGTAGGAAACATTGGGCCAAAAATGAATTGTTCAAAGACATTTTGAACGGGGTGGATGTAAAGGTTGGGGAATCAAAACTTAACTTGGTAATGGAATCCGTCTAAAACAGTTGGGTTCTACCACTAGTTCTCACATGCATGTAGAGAGAGACCAGAGAGAGATAGATCCGAGAGAAAGAGAGCGCCCAGAGAGAGAGACCAAAGAGGGACCAGATAGAGAGAGACATGCATGTGTTTTTGGCCTATGTCACATGTTTAGATTGACAGCTTTTTTGGGACAGAAAAGTGATAAAGAGTAGTATCAGAATCAGTTTTCTAAAAAGATGAAGGCAGCATGTTTTGCTCTGATTTGTCATGATTCTGTTCATGTTTGTCAATTCTGTTGGGACAAACCTGTTATACCTGAAATCAAAAAGTTTGGTTTTGTTTAAAGCTGGGAAACCTTGTAATCCAACGTTTTCAAACCAGTTTCTCAGTCTCCACGTGATGAGAGCATTGCGTGGTAGTCATTATAAAATACACCTCATGGATTACTAACAGCAGGTCCCCATTTGTTGGAAGCGTTGCAGATCGCTGTCATCGTACCAGGCCCTGACGCACTCTACAAATGAATAATGCGCCGGTTTTGGCCTGAGATCCGGGATGACCGGGCTTGGCAAGCCACGGGACACTGGATACCCGACCCACTGGGCGCAGAGCGAAGGCAATCTTATTCTATCCGTTTAAAGGTCACAGTTCATACATGAGACAGAACTACTGGCAAATGTTTACAGGAGTTTCACATCAGTCCAGTCACAAAAAGCAGAAGAAATCTTTTTATAATAGCCAAGTTCTCAATGGAATTCCTCTCCATGCTTTGACATCAGATTCCCACGCAATTATCACACAAGAGATGAAATTAGCAGATGGTTTTAACATTCATTCAACAATATGAAGACGTTTTCTCGCGCTTCTACAATTATCTCAATTTGTAACGGGGTCTGGGATAGAAACCCTTTAGGGAATGCTCATAAACTGTTTTCACTGGCTCGATGCTACTCGCTAACCTACATTTAAAACACTTTGACACAGCCTTTATTTTGGCAAGTAGCATAAAAGACATAGTATGTAATTGTTGCATTTATGGCTAATGAATTTACCAATATCACAATGAGTAATGCAGTATTTCCCAAAAGTGGGAGTTAGGGGGTATGCTTTCTATCTGTCTTGTTTTGGCCTCACATATGATCTTTAGAATAGACTCTGGTTCAGTTTTTGTATGCATGTTAAAACAGCATACAATGTTACCTTTAAGGCAAGCCCACAAGAAGCACATACATCATCAATAGCTTCCCTTCCCATGCACCCTGCAGGCCACGTGTTGCCAACGACAGCTCCGGCAACACAAGTGACATTGTGTATGTAAAGTGCTGCCTATATATTTGAGTCATATACATGTAAAACGTGACCATGCGTCTTCAGTGTAACCTCTCTCACAATTGCTCCGAGTCGGATCGCACTTTCCAGCCCCTGCCCTTGTGTGGCGGCAGAGACAGGCACTCTCGCAAACGTGATCTGGCTCTTTTGTTTGTGCTGCTGTTGTGGCACGGGACTGCGCCAAAGTGTGTCAAGAGTCCATGTGAGGAGGCGGTCAGGTGGCAGGCGGAGAGTGGGGAGGGGAGGGGAGATGGAGAGGGAGAGGAGGAGGAGGCAGGCAGGGAGGGAGGGAGGGAGGGAGTGAAGAGTCTCATGCAAGCTCTGCTCTGGAGGCTTGGGCAGATAGGGATGTGTTTGTGCATAACGCAAGATATGAAGTGGAAGAAGGTGTTGAGATGACAGTTTGGCAGAGCGGTAGGCAAGCCGAAGAACGCAAATGTTTCAATTTCTTTGCAAATGACAGAATGTCCTGGTCTTGAATTGAGAAAAAACAAAACTAGAGCTCGAGACAGGACAAAGCTATTGGTCAAATAAGCAAAAAGCAAAGACGTTGAGGAGAAATTGTGCTCAACGCTGCTTGTCAAGATATGCAGTATAACCTCGACTTCTCCCTTCAAAACCCATCAATGAACATTTCAATCTTGGGAGAGAAACAGCAAGGACTGGATGGGGTGCTCTCCTTGATGGCTAGCTTGTGTAAGGAGGTGAAAAGGGTAATTTGATGAAATAAAACCAAATCCAGGGTTAAAATCAAACACAAAATCCAAACTAATTAACAGGAACAAGAGACAGGGGATTAATATATAAACAGAGTCACAGGTGAAAGAGTGTGGTGCAGGCGATCAACGCACGAACAAGAAAAAAACTCAAAGGACACAAGACAACCATTATTACAATATAACAGATTGTATGAAATCGTACAATCCACACCATGACAAATTACTGTCTGAAACTCTTAGGAGGTAGATGGACTCAGAGTTAGGAGCTGAAATCTCACTCTCAGTTCCCCGAGGTCTAAATTCTGTTGGGATCAATCAACTCAGAAGAGATGATGCTGCAAGGGAGGAGAATGTTGTGAACGAGCTACTTTGTAAAGTCCGTTCCAGCCCCGATAGAAATCTATTGGCTTTTATTCATACTTCCATCGCATATCTCTTCATCTACAATTTATTCAGAATGTCCATCCTTAGCTAAACTCAGATCAAAGGATTAAACCTGCTCCAGTTCAAAGCTGGAGTCTGCTTTTTCTTTGGTCCACATTTTTCGCAGTCACCCACATCTTTCTGTTGTGGTAATGCGTGGTGAGATTAGCTCGCTGTGGCACGAGGCTGGATTACAGGGAAGGAGGCTGGTGAGCAGACCGCCGCCCCATTGGCGGAGGAGGGAAGCGGGGAGGGGCCGGTGCACGTGAGAGGCCGGGCTTCCAGAGAACACGGTCTGAAAACAAGAGCCAGTGTTCCGTCTGGGGAGAGGAGAATGATTTCCCATGACGAGGCCTTCAACTCTTGTTTACTGCACTCAGATCGGAATACTTAGGCTTTAGAGAGTGGGAAAACAAGGGTTTAAACACCAAACCAGTGTTTTATTTGCTAGTTAATGCAATGGGATATTTGTAGATAAATTAGATTTATAAGGATGACTGAACAAGACCAGGGACGTAGCTTGGTCCAGTTCACTATGAATACAAAGCTAACCATTTGAATTGTATTTGGTTTATAAAGCTATAAAATCTAAAGAAGTCCCAGGGCAAGTCTAGATCCAAACCAGGACTAAACAATGGCTTAACCTGGATTTGACTTGGATTTTTTTCTGAAAATGACTGAAAAACACATATTTTACTTAATAAAACCTTTCTCTCTGTGTGAAACATATATATTTAACATTAGATGAAGTGGCATTGCTCCACAAGCCAAGTTAATATCTCATGTGACAAAATCTCCAATCAAATAAACTTGGCTGTGTCCTTCACCCGCTGTAATTGCACTGTATCTTTGCTCTGTTTACTTCACAAAGGAGGTCACAGCAAATATTGACGGAGCAATGGAGCCGTTCTCCTGGAAAGGGCTGTGTGAGCGTGTGTAAACATACTCTCCTTGGCATTCGCTATCAAAACATTTATCTACAACGAGATTATGGCGTTTGCCCGAGCGAGTCGACCTGGTTTGTTTGAAAGAACTCTCGTGCCAATTTTGATATGCTTTTGGACTTTGTGGAAATTACATTTCCTGATTGTGTGTTCAAAGTTACACATTGATCAATGCAAGTCATAAAAACTGCACATTAATGCTTTGTCATGCTATTATGCACACTAAACCAGGAGGGATGTCCTTGTAACTGTCTAAAATGGTTAAAAAGGGCAGGGTCAGCAGATGCCATTCATAATTTGATGAGCGTTTGTGACTTTAGAAAGGAAGAAGGTAATTAAATGCACTCTTTGGTTGCGTTAGACCTGCTTTTGATCTGCTTTTGACCTTCCTTTGACCTCAATCAGTGCTATAGAGCGATGATCAGATTGTTTGACTGGTCTGGTTGCTGATCTAAAGTCTATATATAGGGGAGTTTCCCCACAGTTTGAGACTCTGTTCTTCTCCATATCATATCTTTTTGACTGTGTCGGTTTGGCCATCCGCCCAATCAAACTAGGCCAAACCACCACCCTCTCACATTTTACTATTGAGGCCTGTTTGATCTTGAAATCAGATTTCTAGTGCAACCAGTTGACTCACTTCCCACGAACGTGCACCAGATGGAGTAGAGATCACAATAGGTTGCATTCATGTGACATCACAACATTCCAAAGAGCCCATAGTATCACATTGTGGAGGAGGGAAGCTAGTAAATCTTTCCTGCTAACAATACGACTTGTCAAAAGTCTAGTTTTTCTGGTCAAGTCTCTGGAACATGTCAACTATGGTCTAATTATTTTGGTGTTGAAAGCATATATATGATTTTGGTTCTAAAAGGGTGTCTTTCCTCTCTGTGTCCAGGTGGAGTTATCCTCTATGCTGGATCTTCAGGCAGCGCCAGCCCCAGCCCTGGGAGCCCTTCCAGTGGGTACCAGACCCAGTCGCCCTCATGCCACTCCCAGCCCTCGTCTCCGGAGGGGGGCACGTGCTTCCAGGAGATTGGAGCCCTGAAGCAGCAGTCTCATCGAGGGGACAGCCGTGTAGAGCAGGGAAGAGCATCCCCACCCAAGATGGTCTTTCAGTTCCCAGAGGTCTCCAGCGCTGGCCAAGTCTCCAACGCTCAGTCCTCCTACAGCCACCCACCTGCAGCCAAGAGACAGTGCACCTTCAGCGGCACATTCACCAGTGAGTATTTTGTCTACAGACCTACTCCTACTTGTACAGACTGCAGCTATCATTTACTGGTGCTGAATTTTTGTCTAGGACAGTGCAAAACAACACATGACCAGACCAGTCCTTGGCTTGATCTGAATGAGGTCTGTCCCAACCCTGGTCTTAACTTGATGCCCTTTTTCTGATTGCAGAGACTGGAGGGATGGTGCTGCTGTGCAAAGTCTGTGGAGACATTGCATCTGGGTTCCACTACGGAGTCCACGCATGTGAAGGCTGCAAGGTAACGGAAAGCTACTTGTCCTGGTCATATGTCAATTCCTACAGTTGCTTTCAATCTTTCTGTTTTGGTTTTACCTCGGCCAAACCAAAATGGGCAAGCTTGAAACATAGATACTTCTAGCATTACCATAAATGGGGGGCCTTTGTGAGTATCTCTCTCCTACAGATTAGACTATAATGTTGTTGTTTTGTTGCAGGGGTTCTTCCGACGCAGTATCCAGCAAAACATCCATTACAAGATGTGCGTGAAGAACGAGAACTGTCTGATCATGAGGATGAACCGCAACCGATGCCAACACTGCCGCTTCAAGAAGTGCCTGAGTGTGGGCATGTCCCGTGACGGTAAGCGGAAACTTTGATAGGGCCACATGTCCACAAGAACTCATTACATACACACCTCAATGCAAAATCCGACCTGAAGTTGTTCCATCAATGCAAATATCAGGAACTTCGACAAAAAACCCCAGGGTACCCTCAAAACAACGCCGCATTTGACCCGCCTCGCGACCAAGTTTGTTTACCAGGGCGAGTTCAGTTGGAAGTGGGTGAACTTTGTCTTTTGAAAACTCATTGGGATTGATTATTTTGACCCTTTAATTTTGCCATGGGTCAGGATACAGAGTTGTTTTCTGTCCTTATAAAATAAAAGTATTGCCCCAAATTAGTTTTTCCCCTAGTCAAACTATACAAACGTAACGCAATGTTCTCAAGATCCTGTTCAGAAATCCAAGATGAGCTCTATATTTTTAGCAGTGTGACATCATTTTGAAGTACGGACAAGTCAAATTCATGCAGCTGTAGCAAGTCTCTGGGTCGCAGTGTTCTTGTGCCGAGAAACCAGGTTACTCCCCGGTTCTCCGTTCTCTCGGGGGCTCGTCTTCCATCTTTCGCTTCCTTACCCCAGCTCTCCTTCCTGCGTCCCTTTCGTCCCTTTCTCTTCCCTCTGATTTATGATTGGAGCATCGCACCAGCTCCCTGCAGTCATCCGTCATGCCAGGAATAGTTTATATCGGGAAATTGGGGCAGCGAGTTTTGTTGATTGCCCGCGTTGATATACAGACGCGTCGATGACATTGACACGGCGCTGGTGTGGGGGGAAAAACGCAAACGCCACGCTAGCCTCATTAATAATTAAACTGCACAATGTTTACTTGTGAATTTGAATAAAACTACAGCAGCTATAGCCAGAGCGTGGGTTTGTGGAGGCCTCGAGGGAACGGGACTGAAGCAGGCGCTCATAAATCACCAGCAGTTTCTAGAGCAAACATTTTTAGATGACCCAAAAAAGCCTGTGCACAGGTGAAAAATGGCGAATGCAGAGCCAAGCAGGTTTTCGCTAACGAGGGAGGGTTATTAAAAGAGGTTTGTGACAACAACTTTTCAACGTATTTTCAAGTTTGCTGCAGGAGAAACTTGGAAGTAGATAATGAGGGCTTCAAGCGATGGCAAGTATTCCACAGTGAAAGGCTTTTTGCAGCATTTGACCTTTTTATTGCTTTTTGCCCCTCTCAATGGTTGAGATACAACTTAAAGCTGCGGTAGTTAACTTTCAAACCACAGCAATGGAACTCTAATGCATTCAACGTTACAAGTTCCTATGCAGAATGCTAAAGATAATCTAATCTTATAAGATGAAGACAGCATGTTGTGAACTGAATTTAGTCACAACACATTTCCAGAATCTTTTTCAAAATAAAATGTGTTATATATGGAGATAGGTACCCCAGTTACCTCGAGATGACTGCTGTTGTGATTTAGGGCGATACAGAAATAAATTGATTTGAGTTGAAAATGCAATAACAAAAGTGGCCCCCTTCCCCCAGCACATCTCTATTTATAGCCTCCACCGCTGTTCTTCATCCTCACACTCTCCTCTTCCTCCTGTCAGCGCATCTAGGCCACTGGGTCAACCAACTCCCATTGTGCGTGTCTCTAAAGCAGCACTGCGCAACTTTTCCCACCTGCACTGCGGCATTAGAATAATAATCGGGCATGAAACAGTGGCACAACGAGGTCCGAAGATCGAAAATGTCAACTTCAAACGTTTAACACTCCAATCTGAACATGGAATAGCAAACCGAATCTGATCACGTTTAGCTACATCTCTGGAGTGGTCAGGCCCGACTGGTGCCATGAGGCCAGAAACAGTTGTGGCGGTTAGTTGGGCGACGCTGGCGTTCATAATCCCTGTAGATTAACCAGAGTATCAGATGAAGGGGGAAGAGTTGCAGATGGTCAGGGTGAAAGCAAGCTGCTAGTGTGTAGTGCCAGAAACCCACACTTTGGACGGAAAGACTATGTTCAAGGCCACATTCAAATACAGACGTCCTTTTGGAGATTTTAACAATGCTACAACAGTGAGACCAGAGACAAGAAACTCACAATATACTAGACTACGGCGAGTTTCTCATCCATGTAGAGCGGTTGCGAGGCAGGTTAGATGCGAATCCTTTCAACACACCAGCCTGTGTCGTACCTTGTGTATGGAACATGCAACCAGGGTACAGACAATGAAACCTATATTTAACGCTTGTATTATAACTATACACTCTGCTTTCCCCCCTTCAGCTGTGCGATTCGGCCGCATTCCGAAGCGCGAGAAGCAACGCCTCTTGGACGAGATGCAGAGCTACATGAACAGTCTGAACGAGGCGTCGTCCGTGGAGATGGAACTATCCCTCGCTGCAGCCGAGACCCCGTGCAGCCCTTCCACCCAACAACCCCAGCCCAGCGAACCCATTCCACAGTCCTACCGCATCCTACCTCCCGCACAGGACGAAAAACCCGTCATCAAGAACCAACACAGCACTTTCCACACAAACCCGGAGTCCAACCAGTCCATGGCGACGGCTCAAACACAAGAGCAGCTGTCAAATTACCAGCAAATATGCCCCAAGATTGAGAACACGTCGAATTTGGATATCAGTAATGGCAACTACGGCTATTCCAGTCAGTGTCCAGTGAGTGGCAACATCGTGCAACATCCCTATCCCACCAATCACAACAGCTACGAGACGCAAGGCCAGACGACGTGTCCATGGAAGCTCCAGTCAGGCGCTAAAGTGCTGGTGAGTCTATTGTCTTGTCCAGAAATCTCACATTGGCGCATCTACTCGCCTGTGTCGCTACTTATGAACTAATGCAGTGTTAGTTTCTCTATAGTAAATGTACATCTCTGCTTCTCAGGCGTGTCCTTTGAACTCGTGTCCCGTGGCCCCGTCCGGTCGTTCGAGTCAGGAGGTCTGGGAGTCCTTCTCTCAGTGCTTCACTCCGGCGGTGAAGGAGGTTGTGGAGTTCGCCAAGAGCATCCCAGGCTTCCAGGCGCTCAGCCAGCACGACCAAGTGATGCTGCTCAAGTCCGGCACGTTCCAGGTGTGTAAGGAAAACAAGGCAGCCATAAATTTGATCTTCCCTGGGGCAACCTTAGACTGTATATTAGGATTGGACGAACTTTTTGCCGAATGCAGAAGAGGCCGATTTTAACATAAGCTAGCCAGCGAGCGTGTGACACAGTTACTGAGCTAGAGGAGTTTACTTCTCAATGTAAGTCACTAGGAGCCAGAATGAGCTGGAGCATAACTTCCTGACAAATGAAATCCAATCTTTGGCCGCAAACATAAAAGATTATTTCAAATACGGCCTTCAAACAGAGGCTAATGTATGTAACATGTAGACAAAAAACGATTCTTTTATCTTATGCTGTTCATCAAGCTAGCGTGTGTTTTCGTGTGTGAACGATCCAAAACCAACTTGTGTATGCTTTTAAATGGGCTGTTCATAAATAATACTATACCTAACTGTGATTCCCTTCTTCCTCTGCAGGTGTTGATGGTTCGGTTCTGCTCCCTGTTCGACCCCAAAGAACGCACGGTGACGTTCTTGAACGGACAGACTTACGCACTGGCGTCGCTGCGAGCGCTGGGCATGGGCGTGCTGCTGGACGCCATGTTTGACTTCAGTGAGAAGCTGGGATCCTTGGGTCTGGAGCCCGACGAGATGGCCCTCTTCATGGCCGTGGTCCTGGTGTCTGCAGGTGCTTATAACTTATTCATCTGTTTCAGGCTAAAAACTCTTGTCTCAGTCTTGTAATAGTATGATGTGATTGTACCACAATAAATTTCAGAACAGTAATATTTCTATTTTGAATGTGGAATTGAAAAAATAGCATTCACCTGATTTTAACCAATATTTTGTCCTTGTTTTAGACCGTTCTGGCATCGTTGACACCGGAGCCGTGGAGCAGCTTCAGGAAAACCTGATCAAAGCCTTGCGCTCTCTTATCACACGCAGACGTCCAGATGATTCCACGCTTTTCTCCAAACTATTGCTGCGCCTCCCGGACCTGCGCACCCTCAACAACCAGCACTCCGACAAACTCCTGGCCTTCCGCATCGACCCCTGAACACAAACTCTGCCGAAAAAACAAAAAACTCGACCAAAAGCGGCGAAGACTTGGAGGCGAAAAGAGCTTGTGGACTTTGCTTCCTGATCCTGGTCCGAACCCAAGCCGCGCTCCGCCCCTTGCATGTTGGGGCGGTCGTGGAAGAAGCGATGGAAGACGAGCCGAGGATCCCGCGGTTAAAGCACGGGCACCGGAACTCTCGCATTCCGCCCGAATATGCTTCCAAAAAAAAAGGTCTGAAAAACGCTGTTCTTCCGAGACTTCATGCACAGACAGTCGGCCCAGGACAGACGGACTTGGAGCGCTCTTGGAAGCACGTCCTCCCTATAGAGAAATATATACATGTACAAAATATGTTTTATTATCGTCCGGCAGCGCTCCCGGGTGCGACGCCCACCTCGCCGTATATATTGACTATAAAATCCAGTGGTTTTCAAGCTGTTTGCACCGAGAAGCCATTCATAAAAGCATTGAAAATATGGTTCCAAAATCAATACACTGCAAAACAAATCAAGATACAAAACAACAAAATGTATTCCAATGCATGTTACCTCGTGTTATACCCTGGACCTTGCACTGCAGCTTGAGAACCGCCGGATTCCTCTCCTATAGCAATATAAATGTGTCACTCACAGTATGGAGGGTGCTTTCTTTGTATATGTTAATAATAATGATAATATAAGCTATTTTCACACGTCATCCTGTGGAATATATCTTTATCTGAAAAAATCACCCATTTGTGATTTTGAGTTGTGTATAACATTTTTAAGAAATGAAAGTTTGTTGCATTGTATTTGTATGCAGTAATCAGGGAGCAAACTATTTGGTCATTTTCGACCATGTATCCGACATGAGGTGTTTGAGTTGTACATATAAAACATGATGATGTAGATTCTATGTAGAGACTAGTACTGATCATATGATGTTGACGTCATTAAAGGTTCCACATAATTCAACTCTGGAGTTTGATGACTTTTTTGTGTGTGTGTGTGTGTGTGCTTGTACATGTCTGTGTATGTGAGTGTGTGCATAAAAGTCTCTGTGTATGTGAGTGTGTATATGAGTGTGTGAAAATGCAATGAGCTGCATTCAATACAATTTATTTATGTACTGCAGGGGTCTCCAACCTGTAACTCGGGAGCTACCAGTAGCTCGCCAGCCCCTTTCAGGTAACTCCCCAAAGGATTTAAAATTAAACACATGGTCTTGAATGAGTCACTTTTTAGTCAATACATATTTATTATAAGTATAAATATAGGGTTATACAGTATTATGGTCAATTTTACAAGTTTTTCCATGTTTTGTCGTAATCATGACATTGATTTGTATTATGACTGCAAAAAGACAGTCATGATAAAAGGGTTAGGGTTGTCTACTAAAAGGTAGCTCTTTTCTGTTGTATAAAAGTAGCTCTCTGATTGAAAAAGGTTGGAGACCCCTGATGTACAGTGTAGCCCTAAATGCTGTTTGTTAAAGTTGTTGATTCGCCAACAACAGATCAGAAAATAAGTGTTTAAGTATTAGCTCGCTATAACACTAAAGGCAGTGCATCTGGTCCAATGTAACTGTTGTGTCCATATCAAATAAATAAACAGTTAAAACACAGGAAATGCAATAATAACAAACACTTTCGAGCCATTCATCTTGACTAAAGGACTAAAACATTTATCAGATACCAGCACCTGAAAAGGAGTTTGGTATTTGAGTTTAGTTTTTCGATATCCTTAGATTTCAACAGAACATATTTCAGAATCAGAAATAATCAGAATTCTTTTTATTGCCATTGTACATAACAGGACGTCAGAAACTAGGAATGTGCTTTGGTATATGGTGCATTTAGGTTATTAAGAAGTAGATATATATAAAGGCAAGCATGAGAATACAATATGAGATTAAGATTGAGAGATCCTTTATTCGTCCCACAATGCAGACATTTCAGTGTTGCATCACCAGTTACAGGACATTTCCCACAGAGCACTCAATGGGAGTTTTAGCATGGAGGGATTTGATATGAGAGTCACCCAGATATCCATCCGTTTTACAACTTTTGCATCAGAAATGAATCTTGAATCTTGAGAATAGACTTTAAACACCACTTGTTTCTTACAGTACGGGTTTTTCCCCACCGTCATGAACACATCCTGCCGACGTGTAGTAAAAGTAAAAAGCAAAATCCTTATTAAACCCCACAATGCCGTGAATCACACTTCTGGTCTTAGGGGTCTGTTTCTATAAACACGTTTCTGACAGCGCCTCCTCTGGGACATATTTCATCTGGAGCGGTAACCTAGCAACAGCAGTGATCGGCCAATGGCGGCGCAGGATCCAAGTCCTTATGAGAGGGCTGTGAGGGGAGCGGCGGTGAGTTTGGTGAAGGCTGAGGAAGAGGAGTATGTGATGAAGCTTTCACACGGAGCTGCACCGGAGGAAGGAAAAAGGCACAACCGTATGGACCCATGATCAGATCAGGTCTCTCTCTTCGGCCTCTCTATCTGATCAAGAATAAAGAATTTATTTGCCATTTGCAGTAAAACCACATTGGAAAAACTGTGCAAGACTACCCTAGTGTGCACTCTCTGGTCCCTCTCTTGGGTCCCTCTGCCTGATCTCTCCCTAGTCTCTCTCTGGTCCCTCTGCCTGGTCTCTCTCTGGTCTCTCTCCCTAGTCTCTCTCTGGTCACGTGTTAAACAGACATAACATAGCAATATAAACCTGATTTATTATTATTATATAAATGCAGTCTGGCTCTGTTAGAGGGTAACGTGGTCTGTAGACTGAAGCATGGCAGAGACGGGTCCTCGAGGAGAAACCGTAGCACCTGATGAAAACCTACCCAGAGCATGCAAGCTCCACTCTAAAAGGCCCTGTTTCGACTGGGATTCGAACCCAGGACCTTCTTGCTTAGAAGCGAGATTGCTAATCACTGTGGTGTAGTGTAAACGGTGCATATGAACCCCGGGTCTCCATGGGGGCCAAAATATTCGTGGAAGTGACGCAAGTCAGTCTGTAGTCCTGGTCTGTGCAGGAGTGTTTTCCACTGACCATTCTAGTGACCGGCTTTAGCAACAATACCCTGTCCAGATAATAAAATACATCCATGAGACAAAGGTACAAGGCTTTGTACTTGTTACTTATAATACTGTATATCCCATGAACCATTGCAAGACGTACAGTATCCATGGATCTATAATAATAACTGGATAGGGTATTACTAGCTTATAGCTGTCCCACCCATGGGCACAGGGGGCGCCCGTGGTACTGCAGACTAAATTCACGTGGGCTACCCAGAAAAAAGTCCCATAGAACTCAATGTAAATTAAAACAGCTCGACCTCAGCTGACAGAGAACCTACAACTTTCAGAAATATCGGATTTTGTGGGGATTTTAGTGTCCTTTGTCATCCTAAACTTTTTTTCTTCTTAAAAAATCTTTTGGTTTTCTTTAAATCCACATTTTACTGCCACAAACTCTGCTCTTTTCCTTGCCGCTCTGACTCCGCTCTGCTGCTGCTCTGATTGGTCAATGCGCAGCCGAGCCTCACTGTGCACGTGCATGAGAGCCACACGCGCGCATTTGGCGCGACGCATCATGGGAGATAATCCACTGCGCCGAACCGGGAGGACCAGGCGATACCCAAATATAGGCGAGTTCTGCTAATCTCCCAGTCTCCGTGAAGACCCATGCGCTACTGAGCACAAGCCATTCATTTGAATAGGGCGCCATCTTGGATCACCGGGGCTTGGACGTATCCTGCAAGTCTGTGCTTTTCTTTAGCTAAAGATAACACATCTGAGAGTGATATCACGGTTGCAGCAATTACATACACTGTTAGAAATATAGCTGTAGCAGACTGTACCTGGGGGAATGTGAGCTCGACCAATCGAAAGCCTCATAGTATGATCACGAGGCTAAAGCATTCTGGGTATTGTTCTAGGACAAAGAATACACAGTTAACTATATTGATTTGAAACATGCTTTTTTCAGCCACATCTGACTTTGAGGTCACTATTTTGCTTTCTCGTACTTACGGATTCAAAGGTTGGATCCAAGTATATAAAAACAATGCAAAAGTCAATACAACTGACTTAACATTGTAAAAAAAAGTGTTAAATTGCACTTGACAAAACCTGGACCAGCCCAAGTCGTAAAAGGTTAATTTTCTAAGCAAACTAAAGGACGAGGAACAAGGTATTACACTTTTCCTGAAATCTCTACGGCTTCGTAGAAAAGTGGATTTTACTTCCGAACTACAAAGCTCTGCCCACTTCCAACATCATAGTTTTGATAGCTCTAGCCACGCCCCCTTTTAATGGACCAAAGAAATCCCTAAATTGAAAAAGAGCGTTTTATCTGTGACAGTGACAATGCATTCAAATCAGAAATAATCACAGCATATTTAAAAGAGTGACGATAGAATTCTTCCATTGTTGCAGCGAAAAAGACCATGTCTTTAACCTGGATTGGAACATAGAAGCCTGTCTTGCATTTTCAGGAAGATTCTAGATTTATTCAGCTGCAAAAATGTGAACTGCTGTCTCTTTATGTTGACTCCTGACTCTTGGCACCAGCAGGAGGCCAGTCCCTGTGCTCCTCAAAGTCAGCGTTCATTTATATGGTACAGCTGTATATGTTGCAGAGGCCATGAGACTTGGACACAAAAAGAGCTGCTTTAAAGTCTATTCTCTGAGCGACAGGAAGCCAGCGCCTCCAGTCCAATTCAAATCAACGCGTTTGGGATTAAATGAACTGGAAAGTGAAACTAGAGTCAGTCCAAGTGCCCTGCTGTGAATAAAGTTTGAGTTCATGAGAGGACAAGGCCAAAGATTCACACAAATCATTTAAACGGCCTCACTTCATCCCAGTTTAATGCGTTTCCAACAAGTTCTTTGCTTTTAAAGCCATGATCCAAACCTCTGCTGTGGTTTCATGGCCAAATAGTTCGACGCAAAGTCATCATCACGGATTGTGCGTAGGTGTCATTGCTCGCTCCAAATATACATTCACAACAACAAAAGTCTTTCTTTACATTACTTTTGCCTCTGACCCATTTCCCTGTTCTGTGTGGGCGGGATAAGTCACCTGCCTGCGCGGATGGAGACAAACGAGCGGGGGCCAAGCACGTCCCGTGTCCGCCCGCTCCAAGCAGCTTGTCCTCGGGTGAACCGGGCTGCTGCAGCGTGGAGGCGGTCTGGAGCTGGGGCGGGGCGACACCTGCTGGGCACTATAGGAACTTCTCCTATTTTGGCGTTATTGTTGATACAGTAGTGCTTGAAAGTTTACAGACGTTTACAGAAATGAAATTATTTGGTTTGTATTTCGGTAATGATAATTTAAAAGTCAATTTAATTTCCCTGCACATTGTTAGTGGCCGTGAGAAGCCATCGTCCAATTAAAGTGTTTTTCCAAATTAGAATGACAACAGGAAGTGCTGTTCTGACCCAGATTAGAAGTTTCCATCTCCCAGTTCTCAATAACAGGGGCATCTAACTTTAAAACATCACGAGTTTACACACATTTGGTCTCGGTCACATTATTAGATCAGCTTTTTCAGACACAAAAGTACCAGCTCTCACTCGGCCAGCCTGTTGTTCAAAAACATTACTTTAACAAGAATCGTTGTTAAAGTAACAAGGCAAAATAAGGCACTCCAGCTTAAACATTTATGTCAACTTGCAGTCTGTTGTGGATTAAGTTATTTCTCCTCTCTGCTCTCTCTCTGTACTCCCCTCTTTCTGTTCTCTCTCTGTGCTCTCAGGTTCTGTAATGATCCAAGCACAAATCCTCTTAGTCTGTTTTCATACCAAATTTACACAAAACATGATGTCACTTTTGGGCTTTTTAGCCCGAACAGTGACATCATCTGGTCTCTCCCTCTGGTTTCTCTCTCTGGTCTCTCCCTCTGGTTTCTCTCTCTGGCATCTCTCTCTCTGCAGGTATCTCTCTCTGGTCTCTCTCTGGTCTGTCTCTCTGCTCTCTCTCTGTCTCTCTATAGTCTCTTTCTCTGAGCTCTCTTCTCTCTATATATATCCCTGATATTTACCTACTATTGTTATGATTTACATTGTATATATATATATATATTGTATATCTACATTAGAATCAGTTTAGATGAATCTGTAACATCAGCCTGCCCAGGGACTACAGGTGGACATTAGCATCTTAGCTATAACATGGTACAATGCTTCTCTCCCTTGTGTTAATGTTTAACTTTTACAGTCTATGGTTTAACTGTACACTGTCCCTGTTCAAATAAAATACCATATCTTACCATTCATCAGAAGCAAACTCGTTCCTGAACTATTCACCGTGGTCTGGCGCCATCTAGTCACACAAGAGAGACATTACAGGCTCATTACGTTTAAAGGAATACATTATATCTAAAACTCTGCGCTAATTGATCGTATTGTTGCATATACCATAATACGAAAGTATTCTCAGTATTCAGATAATAATTCTGTGAGTTTTGAAATAACTGTATAATGAGGGTCGATGCTAAAGTGCTAACTCAATGAAGCCCAATAGATGGACAATGATTTGTTCCAACTCCCTCTGGCTCCAATTGACTTAGATGTAAAGGTAAACTCCTCCAGCTCAGTAAAATCTGTGCTTTTGTACTCTTTATGATTCTCATCTATAAACGTCACAGAGGAAGCAGAACAGGTCCCAAAGGTTTCATTTGAGGTTGTACAATTTTCAAAGGAGTTTGACATGGACCTGCCTCCTCCTGCTGTGGTCTGGCTCAGAGACTGTCGAAGAGCACAGAACTCGTCACCTGCTGGAGCTCACTCTGGTCAGACCATGGGGGTCAGACACACCCTTCACTCGGACAGGGCTGGGATTGGTCTGAGTCCTGCGAGAAGCATCAGATGGAAAGTCCTTCTGCAGCTCCACTCCACAGTCCTGACCTCAGCTGCAGATCAAGAACTGGTTCAGTTTAGACTCCTCGGAGACTGGACTCGTGAACTATAGGAGTTAGGGTTAGGGTCACATATCTACAAAATTAAAATGTCTTTGAATCTGTTTTAGCTGCAAAATACCGGCTTTTTAAACAGCAGAAAGAAAAGATCTCAGCTATAATTAAAAAATATTAGCAAACAAATGCATCTGTTACCCTGTCACATGTATGTATGTAAATGTATTTTTAGCCTCTGTCACATCTTAGATCATGTTTTTCCAGGCAGAAAAGTCCAGAGAGGACTCTCACTCAGCCAAATTATGACTTTTGTGTGAGAAAAAGCCCCAAGGCTGAATAACAGCATGTTGTGGTCTGATTTGCTCACAACGATTTACTTTCTGAAAAAAATAAAGTTAGTTTCTCAAGCTTTAAAAGAAATAAACAGACTTAATGTGATGTTTATGTGGTGCCACCTGAATGTGAAAGCCAGATCCCGTCAGACCTCTGCTGCTAAGCGAGGCAGGACCTGGTTAGTACTGTGATGGGAGACATCTGGGAACAACAAGTGCCACAGTGGGGCAGTTGAGGCTGTAAAGTGCCAAACTGTTGTATTCTTAGGCGAGACACTTTAGAATGAGTCTGGTGTGTGTGTGAATGGTTGGTGGTGGTGGAAGAGGCTGATAACACAGACTGGTTGCCTTGCTTCTGTCAGTGTGCCCCAGGGCAGCCGCGGCTACAGTAATAGTTTATCACCACTGTGTATGGAGTGAATGAATAATGAAATGAGTGGACCTAACAACATATTATTATAATTATTATTGTTGACTTGTCATTTGAAAGAAAAAATAGGAACAAGGAATGTGTGTGTTGAAAAGTCTGATGAAGATGATCCTAGAGAAGAACTATAGAAGTAACAGTTTGCAGAGTGGAGTTTGTTGACATTCCCAGCGTTGGCGAAGGTGCAGAAGGCTCCACTACAGCTAAGTCACATTATTGCATTTACATTATCGGCTGCAGGTCAGGTTCTGTAACAATCTCAGCGCAAATCCTCTTAAGTCTAGTCTGTTTTCAAACCAAACTTACACAAAACATGATGTCACCGATCGGGCTAAAAATAAACTTAAGAATCTCTGTTGTTTGATAATCTTTTACAGCAGCTTGTATTTGAATCAAAGCATTTCTCTTCAAGTCTTTTGCCATGTTGTCGCCACACTGACCCTTCCTCAGAATCAGAGCTGTCCCAATGAACATATACATGAGAGAATGCAGCGGCTGAATCTCTTCTGTTGGACCAAAGGATTCAGTGGAATATTCCGTTCTACATGTGAGGCCCTTACAGCTGATTTCTGTGAGTCGGATTTTCACTTCAATTGAAATATCAGAGAATCAAACCGTTCAAACACAGGTCTATAGGGATCGGTATGACCACTGTCTCTTTTATTGCTTGAATTTGAAACAGAAAACAAATGAACTTACAATAAATAAAATATTTTTGCTTTCTAGTTTTCACATGCATTTTTGGCCTCTGTCACACCTTAAGATCAGGTTTATAGACAGAATATTTATAAAGAGAGTACTTACTTCCCTCAGCCCAAAGAAAAAAAATGGGTCTCAGAGGGTTCTTTTTTTAAGGTTGACCTCAACAGAACACCAAGAAGCAGTCGTAAGGTTTTGAACCGCCGTAGCTATGTTTTCACGCTGGGAACTCCGTGGAAGACTATGTATTTTCTCAACACAGCCTCAGCTCCCCAATGTGGCACCTGGCAGTCTCCCATCACCGCACAGACCAGGCACTGAACTGCTTATCTTCTGAGATCTGAACCTTGTGGGACCAATCGTTTTGAACCTTGTCCACCGAGCCTTCTGAACCCTGAGGACCGAGCCTTCTGAACCCTGAGAACCGAGCCTTCTGAACTGTAGAACCGAGCCTTCTGAACCCTGAGAACCGAGTCCTCTGAACCCTGAACCCTGACCACTGCCCCCATTCTCTGAAACTCTCTCCCACAACACATCAGGAACTCACTCCAGAACCTTAAATCACGGACCTTAGTTTTGTCCAAAAGCAGGATCTATGTACAATGTATTGTCATGTTTTCAGTGTTATAATTGGATCTGAACTATAAAAAGGGCACGGTTTTCACTCCTTGGCTGGTGTCTTGTGTAACGGGCGGTGGCGGGTCTTCACCTGATTCCTCCTGGATGGTTCTGGACACTGGATCAGGGTTAGAGGCAGATTAACCACATGGACAAGTATAAAGCTGCTCTAATCCCTGTGCGCACTCACTGAGCGCGCAGACCACATCACACACTGCGTATTCTTCACAAAAACAACGTCACTTGGGTTTTTCTCTGTGGACATTGACTCCATAAATACGTTGCTTATTTTGCGATTGTTTTTTTTCTTTGGATTTTCCAGCTGAAGACGTGAATTTGGAGCCGTTTGTTCAAAGCAGCTGAAGTCAACAGAGGAAGCGATGAAGAAAGGAAAGGTACAGTTTGACTTTCCCCTGATTTTAAACAATTCTTTTAGATTTTTGACGCACACGTCCATTGCAGAACATATTCATAGCATGCTTTTATCGGCTTCAGAGTAAAAATCTGTAGCACTCTAGGATCACTATCATATCCCTGAGGTTTCTCACTTTTTGTTTAGTCGTTCCTTGCCGATGCAGGAGGCTCTAAGGACAGTGCTGATCCGGAACAATTAGGGACATTTAAGGTGGGTGTGGCAATAAATGTTAGCTTCTCAGCAAGAAGGTTCTGGGTTTGATGCCACTTCAAGGCCTTTCTGTGTGGCGTTTGTATGTTCTCCCCGTGTGTACATAGGTTCCCTCCAGGTGCTCCGGTTTCCCCTACCACTAAAAACATGTAGAATAGGTCTGAATGTCATGAGGGAGTGAACGGGTGGTGATGGTTAGAGGGTCTATGTCACATTTCTGTCATCCTTGTATGGATTAAATGGGAATTACTGGTTCACCAAAATTGTAAAGCGCTTTGTGTGACCTTGGTCTGTGAAATGCGCTAAAAATAATAAAAAAAGATTACTTAAGGACATTTACGAGCATGTCTGGACAGTGGTCGTCCCGCACCCTATGGACCAATGGCTCCTGTGTGTTTGTATTATTGCATTCTCTGTGTTCGGACTGAATGATTCTTTGATCTGTTGTTAGCACGGGCATGGGCGGCACGGTGGCTGGATAGCACTCTCGCCTCTCAGCAAGAAGGTCCTGGGTTCAAATCCCGGTTGGACCAGGGCCTTTCTGAGTGGAGTTTGCATGTTCTCCCCGTGTCTGCGTAGGTTTCTTCCGGGTGCTCCGGTTTCCACTACCACTAAAAATATTTAAAATAGGTCTGGCATGTGCCTCCTGTACTGGCACCCCCACTCACAAAAATTACAATTGTAAACCGCTTTGAGACGCCGATGTGCAGTGAAAAAGCCGGTATATAAATAAAGATTACTTACTACTACTTAGCGAATCGACAACTTTGTAAAGTCCTCTGAGACGACTGCTGTTGTGATTTAGGGTTGTACACAAATAAGATGAATTGAACTTTCACTTCCAGTTTGAAGGAAAACAGCGTTCAGATTATGGCACTGTTTTCAGTATTTTGTGTCTAAAAGATGTTTATATATTGAACTAAAAACTTGAATGCGACTACAACTTATCCCCAACTTAACTAAAAATAATGCACTCAAGAGCTTTACCTACTTGTCATTGTTGTGTCTCCTTTATTTAAAAATGTAAAAATGCACTAGAAGCTAAGCAGTCTAGGTTCTGGTTAGTACAGTGATGGGAGACCTCTGGAACACCCGGTGCCACAGTGAGGCAGTTGTGGCTGTAAAGTGCCAAACTGTTGTTGTGTCCCTTGGCAAGACACTTCACGCTCATTAGAATGAGTCTGGTGTGTGTGTGAATGGTTGATGGTGGCCAGAGGGGCTGTTGACTGGTTTCCTTGCTTCGGTCAATGTGCCCCAGGGCAGCTGTGGCTACAGTAGTTGATAATCACCACTGTGTATGGAGTGAATGAATAATGCTGTGAAGCGTTTTTTAGTGTCCAAAAAAGTTCTGTATAAAACCAAAGCAATAATGTAACTCCACAATTGGAAGTGTTCATTCTAAACATCTCTTATTCCATTATACATGTTTATCCAAATAGTTTATTAAAGGCCAAAATGAACATGACTACTGCATTCTTATTGTTCCTGACGGATTCTCGTTTCTCAGCAGGTCACAGACGAGAATGAGCCGCCCACTTATCAGGAAGCCACAGCAGGTAACAGCTGCAGAAGGAAACTGTTTGTATCACAGACTCACAACTTAGAAAACAGATATAATGTGTCTTCTCAAAAAAACATGTTTGAGGAAAGGGACCACTGTATGAGCCATGAGCCAGCAAAAGCTCCTCAGCAATGGATGCTGGGACTAAAATGTACATACACACATAATGAGAGAGAGATCTAGGACTCCAGGACTGAAGCTGTAGATCCAGGACTGAGGCTGTAGATCCAGGACTGAGGCTGTAGATCCAGGGCTGAGGCTGTAGATCCAGGACTGAGGCTGTAGATCCAGGACTGAGGCTGTAGATCCAGGACTGAGGCTGTAGATTGCGTTGGAATCCTATGAGTGAAGGATACATATAAATAAGCTAAAATACATTTGATCTAACGGCTTTATGTTGTGCAGGCTATCCGGACATGGAGGCCCAGTTTGCGTGGGATGACAAAATTATCCGACAGACTTTCATCAGAAAGGTAAACGCACTGAAGATTTATTTTGAGCTTTTAGTTTTTGAGAAATGTTGAGAAAAAAATTGGAAAAATTAGTTGGAGAAAAACGTCCCTTTCGGGCTTCATTGAGAGAGACCAGAGAAAGATCAGAAAGAAACCTTGTGTCTGTGTGAAAACTTAAAAACTGGGACGTTTTGAGAAGATAAAATAATTAAGTTTTTTTTTTTAGGTGTACGCCATCTTACTGACGCAGCTGCTCGTGACCGTCGGGATTGTCTGTCTCTTTACATTTTGGTAAGGTTAATGTCATTGTCAATGTCAGCTTTATTTGTATGGCACATTCACAACAACACCAGCTGCCCAACTGGGAACAGTAATAGCCCAGTTTTCCAGTTTTGAGACAAGACCTTGGCACCCTCAACCGAAGCTGTTTTTTTTTTTTACCTCAGGGATCTGACAGGAGCAGACACAGATGACAGCTGTCAGAGACCAGAGAGAGAGAAACCAGGGAGAGACAAGAGAGAGAGACCAGAGAGAGAGACCACCATACAGATATAACAGTTCTGTCAGATATACAGGGGATAAACCATTGAAAATCATTTCAAAACAGAATCCGCAGAATCTTAAAATCAACCCTGAATGTGACGGGATCCAGTGAAGTGAGGCCAGCACAGGGGTGATGTGTTCTCTCTGCAAACATGGAATTTGCTTTGGCTCAAGGTGCTGCCAAGTTGTCAGTCAGATTGTTCAGCTGCCCTCCACCACAAAGTTAAAACACAGGCTCTTTGGAACGTTGTGATGTCACAGTCTTACAGTGTGATGATGTTTCTTTTTGCAGTGAGCCGGTGCGGTACTACATCCAGACTCACCCAGGCCTGTACTCTGCGTCTTAGTGAGTGAAACTAGTCTTTTCTCGCCTAGATTCACACAAATATCTCACTAACTCGTCTCCTCTTCACAGCCTCATGTTCTTTGCTACGTACATCGCGCTCAGCTGCTGTGGAGATCTGAGGTTTGGCTTCTCACAGACTTCAGTGTTTGGTCTTAGTCAAAAACGACGGCGCAAATACGGAAAATCCTGAGCGCTCTTGTGCATATGTACATGTGTAACCGCCTGGAACAGTCTGTGTTTTGGGTAATAAATGCCAGGACAGGTCGAGATGGTCTGCCCGGAATGTCAACCTGTTGCTAGCTTACAGCCGGTCTATGTGGTTGCTAAATTAACAATAATAATAAAGGTTGATAGATTACGATCCATTTCTAATGAATGGCTCATACTGTATCCATGGCGATTATCATACATACTATATTCATTCAATGAGTTTGTCTTTTGAACATTATGAGTGTATGCGATGAACTAATGTTTGAATCTTTTATCAAAAAACCACTTGTTGTAAATCATTATTGATGCATATAACCCATAGACTGTAATTATTAACAGATGTAGTCACGCCTATCTCCGCAGTTGAAACTAATGTGCCACCACTTTAGCATTTTGTGGGGCTTTTCCAAAATGGCCGCAGAACAGATTTTGACAGATTAAAACAATATTGTTGATCAGCAGAGACAGTACGATACAATAGATTCATTAGATTTCTTTTAGTATTTCTATCACTAACTGGCGGACCTGGCAGTGGCGGTCGAGTCAGCCACAGGTCAGTAAAATGAGGTATGCTCTAGATCAGGTGTCCCCAATCTTTTTCACCCAGAGAGCTACTTTCCCGGGACGATAAAGGTAAAAGCTACTTCTTTTAGCAGCCCTGGAAAAAATGTGATTATATATTGGTGTGAGTGAGCCTGATATTGATACATTCATTATTTACCATTGTATATTTGTTACTAGTGCACAGATAAGGAATCATGCAATCTGAAATATTAAGTATATTATTCGATTTGCTCATTTCTCAATCCTTTGGCGAGCTACCTGGAAGGGGACGGTGAGCTACTGGTGGTTCCCGAGCTACAGGTTGGAGACCCCTGTGCTAGGCCATCTCAACAGACCGTCTTTCTAGTCTCCTCACACAACTGGCCTTTGCAACCATAAAACAAACTACCAGCAATTGGAATGTACCTGGTTTACGGTGTATGTCTGTATGAAACCATTGCACACTCGTCAGGAACGCGCACACGCCGAGGGAGTTACTGTGAAAGAATAAAGTCACAGGCGTTAGTAAGTTAGTATTTATTCATATAGCGCATTTCACCGGCCAAGGTCACACAAAACTGTTTACAATGTTGGTGTACCAGTATTCTCTCCGCACAATGACGGCACGCAAACCATCATCACCCGTTCACTCAGACCAATTGTACATGTTTTTAGTGGTAGGGGAAACTGGAGCACCCGGAGGAAACCTACGCAGACACAGGGAGAACATGCAAACTCCACTCAGAAGGCTGTAGTGTCTGGTACCGCATTCTCGCAACCGACCCACAACAAACCGTTAAAAATAATGTCATTGTTGAGCATCTACGTCTGCGCACACGCTTTGACTGAGACCGAACATGTTTTTAACTTTTTTTTCATATTGTGCGTGATCAGAGTGTCTCATGTGGTTGTGTGTTTCGCAGGCGGCAGTTTCCCTGGAACGTCATCCTCCTGGTGCTGTTTGTAAGTTGTACTTTAAATAATACTTGAAATACTTTGAAATATATATAACCGATGTGTATCTCAGTGCATGGAGTGTGTGTGTGTGTGTCTCTCTCTCTCTGTGTCTCTCTCTGTGTGTGTGTGTGTGTCTCTCTCTCTCTTTCTCTGTGTGTGTTTCACTGTGTGTGTGTGCGTATCTGTGTGTGTGTGTCTCTCTGTGTGTGTGTGTGTGTGTGTGTGTGTGTCTCTCTCTCTTTCTCTGTGTGTGTCTCTCTGTCTCTCTCTGTGTGTGTGTCTCTCTGTGTGTTTGTGTGTGTGTGTCTCTCTCTTTCTCTCTGTGTGTCTCACTGTGTGTGTGTGTGTGCGCATGCGTGTCTGTGTGTGTGTGTGTCTCTCTCTTTCTCCGTGTGTGTCTCTCTGTGTGTGTGTGTGTGTGTGTGTGTGGGTGTGCGTGCGTGCGTGTCTGTGTGTGTCTCTCTCTCGCTTTCTCTGTGTGTGTCTCTCTGTCTCTCTCTCTGTGTGTGTGTGTGTGTGCGTGTGTGTCTGTGTGTGTGTGTCTTTCTCTCTCTCTGCGTGGGTTGTGTGTGTGTCTCTCTCTGTGTGTGTGTGTGTGTGCGTATCTGTGTGTGTCTGAATGGCTGGAAGGGGATTGGATTAATATAATCTTTTTGCATCATCCACTCCCTTTTCAAACCATGTAAAGATATTCTGTGTTTTTATATTTTGTGTTTTAACTAAATAAAGACATAATTACTCTTATATGAATGTGTTTAACCAAAACAAATATATTTTCACTTGTGTTTCTGCTGCAGACGTTGAGCATGGCCTTCATGATGGGATTCATGTCCAGGTAACATCACTGTCAAACACATGAAGGCTCCACAGATGGTCTCTCTCTCTCTGATCTCTGTCTGATCTCTCTCCCTCTTTTGTCTCTCTTGTCTCCCTCTGTTCTCTCTCTTGTCTCTCTCTAGTCTCTCTCTAGTCTCTCTCTAGTCTCTCTCTAGTCTCTCTCTGGTCACTCTCTGGTCACTCTCTCTCTCTCTCTTTTTCTGGTTTCTCTCTGGTCTCTCTGTCTGCTCTCTTTCGGTTTTCTCACTCTGGTCCCTCTCTGCTGTCTCTCTCTGGTCTCTCTCTGGTCTCTCTCTGGTCTCTCTCTGGTCTCTCTCTGGTCCCTCTCTGCTGTCTCTCTCTGGTCTCTCTCTGGTCTCTCTCTGGTCTCTCTCTGGTCTCTCTCTGGTCCCTCTCTGCTGTCTCTCTCTGGTCTCTCTCTGGTCTCTCTCTGGTCTCTCTCTGGTCCCTCTCTGCTGTCTCTCTCTCTGATCTCTCTCTGTTCTCTCTGTCTCTCTCTCACAACAGGAGGGTGGGGAAGCACAAACACAAGATTCTTACAAATAGAACCAATTCAAAAGTTAATCCCACTAACAACACACATAACAGACACATTAATATTCTCAGATATTCGTCGGTGATCATTTCTAAGTCATTCTTTTGTTTTCTTTCTCCAGTTTCTACAACACAAAGTCGGTGTTGTTGTGTCTGGGCATCACCTCGATGGTCTGTCTCTGCGTGACGCTCTTCAGCTTCCAGTCCAGGGTCAGTCCCGTCCAACTCATCTCTCTGAACGTTGGGTCCTGTTCCAATCCCCATTCTACTCCTCAAATGCTGCTCTTAAACCCGTCTCCACATGGACACGGGGCCACCTCCGGTACTCTTACTTTTACGGTTACTGTTTCTGCTAAGGTTACGTGACAACTGAATGGAGCCAACACAGAGGCATGGTTTTGGCTAGCTAGCAAGTTAGCTTTATCCATCTCTAACTTACTAGCTAACCCACCGGACCATCTCGGTCAGAGCTCTCCTTTACCAGAGTGGAGCACCTTGGTTCTAGCTCTCCTTTCTTTGGCTGTGATGTCGCAGAATCACAGTCATTAAACCAAAAAGCAGACGTTCTGTGGTGCAGCAATGCAAGTTTAAATTATTCCTACCGTTTATTGGAAATTCTGGAAGTTTCCGCAGAAAGAGGAGACGCTGTGGAGCTTTGGGACTCGTTAAAAGTATTCTCATAAAACGTGTCCTGTTCTCATTGCAGGTGGACGTTACTTCCTGCCAGGGCATCCTGTTTTCTCTGTGTATGGTGATGCTGCTGTGCGCCATTACCATGTCCATCGTGGTGCCCTTTGGATACGTAAGTCCAGAGTCCAGAGTCCAGAATCTAGGTCTGGTTCAGTCGGGTCGCAATTCCATCGCATTGGCTTCATGGCAATTTAAGACTATCTCAAAAAACTTGACCACAAATATCAAAGTAAAACCAAAAATCATTTTTGACCCACATTAAACATTCATATTCACTTCCTGGTGCACCATGAAGAAACTACCATCAGAGTACTTAAGTTAAGTTATACTTTAACGTCTGGAGGGAAGTTTGTCTTCTGTATTTGACCCATGTTGCTAAGGACGCTGTCAGGAGCACTGTAGTAGAGAGACCAGAGAGCGAGACCAGAGAGAGAGACCAGAGAGAGACCAGAGAGAGACCAGAGAGAGAGACCAGAGAGAGACCAGAGAGAGACCAGTGAGAGACTGAAATATCATTGGGACTTCATGGTAAAATGAAAATCGGTTCTGCCTCTAGTTCTCCTTGGGACTCAGTAGAAGTCCAGACCCTAGATTTCCAGACCCAGGTCCAGGTCCAGGTCTGGCTGCTTGCTGAAGGGTTTTAAATAGCCCGGCTTAGCCCCAGGATGACTCAGGGAGGCAGGCTTTGATTGGATTCACCGTCTTAGGCCAAAGCACTTGGTTGTGAAGCCTAAATGACTCTCTTCTTCTTATGGGTTTTGTAATGTTGTTGTTCCCTCACAGGTGCCGTGGTTACATGCGACTTACGCGGTGTTAGGAGCCATACTGTTCACTCTGGTGAGTTTCAGACACTAACAGCCCGCATTAAAGCTGGGGTACCTCACTTTTTGCTTCCTTGAAAATATGTGTTGCTTGTGCCAAGATGAAGAGTCGATAACTGCTGTCTTTACACTCTTGCTCTTCTCTCTCACACTCTCTCCTGCTATATCTCTCTTTCCTCTCTCCTCTTTCCCTCTCTCTGATCTCTCCCTCTCTCGTCTTCTGCCCTCACCCTCTCTATGACCCTCTCTGTTGTCTGTCTCTCTCTCTCACACTCTCTCTCTGATCCCTCTCTCTCTCATCTATCTCTCACTCTCTGCTCTTTATCCCCTCCCTATCTCTCTCTCCCCTTTCTCTTTGATCTCTTTCTCGTCTCTCTCCATGACCCTCTCTGTTGGCTGTCTCTCTCTCACACGCTCTCTCTCTGTCTCTGACTCTCTCTCCTCTCTCTCCCTTTCTCTCCTCTCTACTCCCCCTTTATTTCTCTCTCCCCTCTCCCTCTCTTGTCTCTAGCTCTCGCCATCTCTATGACCTTCTCTGGTGTCTGTCTCGCTCTCTCCCTTTCCTTTCTCTCCCTCTCTCTGTCACTTTCTCCCCTCTCTATCCCCCCCTCCAGCTCTCACTCTATCTCTAATCTCTCACTCTCTCCTCTCTCTAATCTCTACCTCTCTCTCGTCTCCTTCCCTCACTCATTTTTTCCACTTCCTGTGTCTGAACGGTTTGATTCTATGACCAATGGTTGGCAGATCAACTTTTCTCTCTCTGATCCCTCTCTCTCATCTCTCTCTCACTCTCTCCTCTCTTCCCCCCTCTATCTCTCTCCCCTCTCCCTCTCTCTTGTCTCTGGCCCTCGCCATCTCTATGACCCTCTCTGGTGTCTCTCTCTCTCTCCCTCTCCTTTCTCTCCCTCTCTCTCACATTCTCCCCTCTCTATCCCCCTACATCTCTCACTCTCTCTCTAATCTCTCACTCTCTCCTCTCTCTCAACTTTTTTTGAATATCCTCTGAGATATACCGGCTGTTGTGATTTAGAACTATACAAAAACAAAATGAATTGAGTCGAACCCTCTCTCTGACGCTCTCCGGTGTGTTCTCTCCTCCTCAGTTCTTGGCCTTCGACACACAGATGTTACTGGGGAACAAGCGCTACGCCATCAGCCCAGAGGAGTACATATTCGCCACACTCAGCATCTACCTCGACATCATCTACCTCTTCAGCTTCATGCTCACGATCTTCGGAGGAGGACGCGACTGAAGACCTGCACTTTCACACCGGACCAAGAATGCACCGAACCGGGCTTCGGGCTCGATCCTATCAAAAAGTCCACACACTGTTCGGAAACGGCGTATTTTTTTCACTTTCTCGCACAATCCGGATGATTCAAAGTGATGCCATTGCATGTGTTAGAATGTGAAATAATGTCTTTAAAAGAAAATACGTGATGAAACAAGGAACGAGGGTGAAAAATGCTATCCGCCTGCACTACCCCTATGCTACCACCAGAGGGAGGTGTAGAATTGATTTAGCTTCTTTTTCCAAACGTGAACATTTTAGGCTGGTTCTCTCTCTCTCTTTCTGGTCTCTCTCTCTCTGGTCTCTCTCTAATCCATCTGGTCTCTCTGTGGTCACTCTCTATCTCTGATCTCTCTCTAATCTCTCCGGTCTTTTGCTCTAATCCATCTGTTCTCTTTCTGGTCTCTCTCTCCAATATACTGTATTTAGTCTCTCTCTCTCAGGATCGTCTTTCTCTCTGCTCTTTCTGTTCTATCTCACACACACACACACACACACACACACACACACACACACACACACACACACACACACACACACACACACACACACACACACACACACACACACACACACACACACACACACACACACACACACACACACACACACACACACACAAACGTCTCCCTCCACCTACTTCTTCGACGCTTTCTTTTCGAGTAGCTTTTTAAACTCTATGTTTTTGACATTATATTCATTTAAAGTGTGTGTTGTGCGTGTCATTATATAAAAGTCATATTTTTCTACAAAGAGATTTTAAAACCCCAAAGGAGACGTCAGCTTTTAGCACTGGAAGAATTGGTTATTTCTTACCTAATAAACCGTGGCCTTGTAGAATGTGATGGTTTTCTAAACATGTGCAATAGAGCATCAATATTACACTTTTGTGATTTTAACTTCTGTTACTTCTGTATGACTTAATGTCGGAGTCTATTATAAAAGCAATAAAATAAACGTTGAACCAAATGATCTGCTTTCATTGTGTTCATTTCGGCTTTGTAGAATCCTATTTCATAAACCAACACAACTTTATGGGAAAGGAGAGATTTTTTAAAGAAATGTTGAAAAAGAATCTGCTGTTGTTTTTCCAGACCATGATTTTATATTGATTAGATTTAGATTCACAAATTCGCCATATTATTCTGATGTCTGAAAGTCCTTTCTACTGGACAAAATCAGAAAGGGAGAGAGAGAACAGAGAGAGAACAGAGGGAGAGAGCAGAGAAAGAAAGACAGACCAGAGAGAGAGAGAGAGAAACCAGAGAGAGAAAACAGAATGAGAAAGAGACAGCAAAGAAAGAAAGAGAGAACAGAGAGAGAGAAAAGAGATACCAGTGAAAGAGAGTAGAGAAAGACAGAAAGAACCAAGAGCAGAGAAAGAGAAATTGTGAGACCAGAGAGAGAGAACAGAGAGAGAGAGAGAGAACTGAGAGAGCGAGAGAAAGACCAGTACTGTTATCTGGGGACACATGTAAAATATATAGATCTTACACAATAAAATGACATACTGCCTCTTTAAGATACCGGATACTTGAGTCTTATTTGCCATTGGGGTGTGATGTGCTGGTCATTAAGGCCCTATAACAAGTCATTGAAACAATTTTATTTAAAAAAAGAAAATGGACACATTCAAAAAAACAGAAAACCAAAGAAGAAAAAATAAGAAACATTTCATCAATCAATAAAAAACACACAAAAGTTCAACCATTTCAACAAAGTCTGGCACAGGAAGACGAGAGGAGCCGAGTGACTTCTGCAAACACTAAACCAGATATCAAAAACCCTTGAGGAACAAACGTACGACATGAGATTGTGTATAAATAAAAAGTTCACGAGGAGCAGCGGCCATCTTGGATCACCCCCACGCTGTAAACGCCACTTCCTATTCGCTGTGAGGAAGGAAGGGACGGCCGGAGAGGATTTCTGTTAAAGCAGTCCTTCTCAACCAGCAGGCTTTTCTCCGTGTTTTTTGCCTATGTTGAAATGCCGCGGGACGACAGTGTGAACGATCGGCGGGTTGTTTGGACCCGTGTCGGCTTTTTAACCACAGGGAAGACAGAAACGTGTCAAAAGAAAAGGGTGGAATTTTTTGACTTTCAAAATAAGTCTTTTAAAAGTCACAGTGCCCTTTACCCAGGACCAGAAGGAGACCAGAGAGAGAACAACCCAAAACTCAGAGCTTCACTCACCCAAACACAGCTCCACGGCTCGTTAAGCTGTCATTATGCAAAGTATTAAAACACCTAGCAAAAAGACTAAGTCGTAAGGCGGGTTAGATGCAGAGTTGAACACAACAGCATCATGTATGATATTATCTGGATAGTGTATTGCTGCTTAAACCTGTCTCCACATAGACTAGAGGCCATTATCGGTACTGCAGCTTAAATCCATAATGGCCTGCAAGGAGATTTCCTCATAGACCTCAGTGTTCACTAAAACGGCTCGTCCTCAGCTGACAGGGAACCTTCAGCTTTCACAAAGATTGGATTTTGCGGAATTTTCTTCTTTTGAAATCCATCAGTTTTCTATAAATCCACACACTCGCTCTTGTCCCGCTCTCTCGCTTCGTTCTGATAAGCGGCGCTCTGATTGGTCAGAACGCTCACATGTCCCTCCCCTCTGGTCCTGCGGAAATACAACCACTGGACAAGACCAGGAGAACCAGAGCTGGCCAGAACACGTCACATGGTAATTTATCTGAATGGTCAGACATGTTGGAGACCCCAGGGTTGACGCGCAGAAGTCCACATGAAAACTAGTGATATAAATGAACTGCTTTGAGCGCGACACACGAGTTAGATGTGGCCTGGATTGGAATTAGAGCAGTTGAGAAAGACTGGTTTGAACTGTATTTTAAAAACATAAAAAACAACATGAGGAATGATCCACACGGCCGCTCTCCTGATGGAAGTCCTGTTTTAGCAGCAACACTTTTGAAGCTATGAAATAAGCCATACATCTATTTCTCGCCGTCTCCCATTCGTTTGAACTACAGTAAGTGCAAGGAACAACTGAACTGTCCGACTACTCATATAATTTATAGTAAAAATTCCGTTTCACGTTTGGATAGAAATACATTAACAACAATAAAACAAAAAATAAATAAACACTGCATTGTAACCACTGGCCATTTCATAGTTTCAAAATGAGAGTGTGGGGTTTAGATGATGGCTGAGAAATGAGGCGTCCTTCACGGTGCATTGAGCCTGAACAGAAAACTCTGGATATCAAAGTGTCAACAAAAACACGCAGAACAAGTGAGAGAAACAACAGCTATGTACAACGTTGGCTCTGGGCGAAAAAGTGAAAAAGGGGTTTGACAGATTTTTCAATTGCTTTTACAGAAGTTTCAAGAAGAATCGTCTGCATCTATGTGTGTGTGTGTGTGTGTTTCTGGTCCTGCGTTTATAATTGAGTACGTTTAACAAAGCAGAAGAATAAGGAGTTGCTTCCAAACCGGTCTGACTGCTGTGGTCCGGTCTACGTGCAAATGGAGCCTTGTGATGCTTTCAAAAGCGCCTTGTAACTTTGGAAACATAATAGTAAATGAAAATGTTATCTTAAACTACCAATGAAACACACTGATCCAAATGAGGGAGTGGCCTGTATGCGTCCAAATCATAGAGTATGGTCTGTTCTCACCATATACAGTTAGGGTTGGACCAACAAAGGGACTTCTTAACAGTAGAGAAAAGATCATCACTAACAACAACACCACCACAGCAAAGTCATTGAAGTATTTTGGGCGAAGAGATGGACGTAAGCAGGACTCCCTGGGGCCGCAGCAGCTGGTGTGTCTGCGAGAGGCCGAGTCCGCTACTGGTTCACGGTGAGGTGAAGTTGGTGGTGTCTGGTGTGGGTGGCTCCTGCTTAGGTTGAATACTCTAAAGACTGGATAATGGCAACACACTTGTTTAAATTTGTGATTGGACGGACAACCACTCCCACCATCCAAATACGCTTTCCTCTGTGCGTATCTTCTGGCCGTGTCTCAGTAGTATCTAGTTTATACGGTTACATGCAGCGGAAAGAGAGCAGAATTGTTTTTTGTTGGTATGGTATTGTTTTTTTGTTTTTGAACAGACTGTTTTTTTTTTCACCTCCATCAGCGCCGATATGTGTAGGGTTTACATGCGTCCTCCTCAAGTGCTTTGTAAACGTCCTCAAGATGAACTACATAGATTTACAAACAGGCGTCTCTGTGAAAGCAATTGAGAGAGTTTGGTGTCTCTGTGGATGGTACATCTTTGGTGGCAGAACAGAGAAATTACAGCAACAGAAACAACGGAAAAGTCAAAAACACAAACTTTAAAAATCCTAAAACATTTAAAAAAAAAAAAAAAAGACATGTTTCTGTATTTACAACTCATCCTGGCTTCGATGCGGCAGTTTTGTCGGTAGAAGAGCGACGTTAAGGCTTCTCAACATAAGAACCTCACACAGATCCGGACCGAAGGCTTGAAATCATCGTCTTGGCACTTCCTCCGACTATCTACATATCTACAGTCTCCGGTTTCACATAAATTAAACAGATTATTTGGATTACGGACGAGCTGAGGCAAGGCGCGTTCACACTGGTCGGAAGTGAGGGTGTAATGTCAGCCTTCACCAGCAGAGGTTGTAAGGAGCAGAGAAGCTAAAACCGACAAATTATGTTTTTTTTTTAAGGCTATGTTTATTCAATATTTTCAATGCATCAAGTTATGTTGACTCTGAGGACCACAGGGACTGGCCCTCTGCTGGTGCCAGAGTCAGGACTAAACATGGGGAGGCAGTGTTTTAGATTCATGCAGCTATAATCTGGAACAGTCTTCCTGAAATAGTGAGACAGGCTTCAAGTTTAAAACAGCACTACTGGATTGTATTTATTTTTTATTTTTTATGTTTCTTTTCTTGTTTTCTTTGAGTTGCTTTGTAAATGTGCTAAACAAATTTCCCTTGCCATCATTTGTGGTTTTGAAAGTCAATAACCCCCACAGCGCCCCCTGCTGTTGGGCTGAAGTAGACTAATGCACACTTCACTGGAGCCAGTGTGAACGTGGCTTTGAGTTTGGTTACGCTCTTCAAAAGCCTGGCGTTCAGGTCCGGCACCTGGTTTGGATCTGAAGATATTACAATAAAATCAAAACAACGACAACACAACGCACTAAACTGTCTACAGCTAAAACTCTAATCTACGTCAAAAAAATTACAATGTCAAAATTAAGGCGGTTTAGCTCTACGAGTTCAAGTGAAAGACACAACGACATCTCTACACAAAAACAAGGCCAATGGTGAATCAAACAAGAGAGAGCCCAGAAGTCACTCAAAAGAGCCATGCATGGATGATATTATGTGGACGGTGTTGCTGCTTAAACCTGTCTCCACATGGACTAGAGGCCACCTGTGGTACTGCATCCACCTGGGCTGTAAGGAGATTTCCACAAATAACTCAGCGTCCTCAGCTTACAGGGAAGGAGGATTTTGGGGATTTTAGTGTTTTCTATCATACACTTAACCCCACATTGCCTGAAACCCCGCTGAAAGATCAAGGCCAATGTCTTCAATGACGGAAAAGCCATCTTCCCGTGGAACCACCACCTGCAGGAGGATCAGCAAGGGACTGTTGCTATGAGACTTGGGTGGCAGCTCTGATTGCCACCCCTCCCCCGACCCAGAAATGGACTAATAAAGGGGCAGACAATGACATGACATGTTTTCTATAAAAATACACTTTAGTGCCACAAAGTCTCGCTATGGCTCCGCTCTGATCAGCGGCGCTCTGATTGGTCACATGTCCCTCTCTGGTTTCTTTCTGGTCTTTTCCTAGTCTCTCTCAGGTCTCTCTGATCACTGCACAAGACTAGGAGACCCAGAGCTGCCCTTTTACTAATGTTTGGTATGACATGGCATGAACCAATGGGGACAGACCATTGCAGCGACTTTGAGAAGGACATCATTGGATATTTTTGATTTCATCCTGGTTTTGTAGGACAGTAATGATGCAGGACATTAACATTACTGGACAGTGGTCATCCTGCTCCATCTGGACCAATGGCTCCTGTGTGTTAGTTATTGTTTCAATTCTTTGTTTGAACTGTTTGATTCTCTGCTCTTCTGTTTGGATTTATATCTATAAAACAAAAATTGAACTGACGTAGTTCGAAATGTCCTTTTTCAGAGTGACTTCTGGGCTCCACTCAAACAAGTGATAACAGCAGCATTAACAAAGACTCGTCCAGAACTCCTCTCTGCGCCTTTTCCCTCATAAAAAACGTCATAAAATCACTGCATTGATTTTAAACCTTTAGCATATTTTGACTTCAACCACAAATGACAAGAAAACCGCTTAAAACCACTTCTCTCACGTTTCACAACAGTAACTGGAATTCAACTTTAAGTAAAAATTATACGTTTTAAAAGCCCTTTAAAAATCTCTCTTTTTGAGCTTTTCAGTGCGTGATGAAGTTGTCTATTTTACATAGCAAAATAAACTATTAAATATCTTTCTTTCTAAATACTTTGATCTCTTTAAAAAAAAAAATCTAAAATATTCATTCAAATATAAATAGAAAGAATTGATTGTCTTGAGTTGGACGAAGCGATGAACAGGTCGACTTGTGTGCGAGGAAAAGCGTCTTTGCAGCAGTTAAGAGGAAGAAGTAGCTTTAAACGGTTTGCCTCCAGAGCTGACCGGACTGTGACCAGCGAACACAACATCCACAAGATTCATATCTGTACAAAGTGTTGCTCCACTACGGCATGAAACGACAAAAAAATAAAAGGCTGAAGGTCCGCGCTATTCCAGAACCCAGGGGTGCCCCAACCCTTTAGTAGAAAGACCACTTTAGTTCACCGGTGTGTCCCGGAGCCAACAAACTGAATTTCTATTGGATTCAAGATGTTCAGAGCTTTAAAAAGATGTATGACATGTCCATTTTGGTTCAAATTTTATGGCCGAAAGAAGCAGAAAATAAACAAAAGTTACATATTTAACTATAGTTCTATGAATTCGGGGAGACTATTGATTTACTGATTTTCTATTTTTTTTTTTCACAAAACTGATTGAAGGTCCTCAGGAAGTGGAGGCGGGGCCAGAGACGAAAGTTACATATTAACTATAGTTCTATGAATCAAGGTTCCTTTGGCAGGGAATACTTGGCCTTGAATTCCCGTTTTCATCTTTTCTTACAAATCTGATTATTGAAAGAGATTCATTGCCAAGCCCTTAGAGTTGTCATGATACTACACTTCCAACTCCTGCAAGAATAAGTAAAGCAATTTCAAACCACAGCGATTATTATTAATGCTGTCATTTTTACTCAAAATAATTCTTTTGCTATGGTATAGTTTAAAATGTATCAAGAAAAGTCCTGTTTATGTCATTAGTTTTAGTATTGCCACTTGCTCAAATGACTAGTTACTATTACTAGTTTTAGAACGTTTTTACAAGATGTTTTGTGGGACTTTTGAGCCCTGTTTCCACCAGCCTTATTCTACACTTCTCTACTCTACTCTAACCAAAATAAGTGCGTTTCCACCCGCCCCGTTTAACTGGTACCAGGTCCTTTTCTGGTTCTATTCAGACCGAGCTGGTACTGAAGTGTTCTGCTGGAAGCCATGGTTACCAAGTAATTTCCTGTGATACAGGTTCGTTGTGGATAAGTTGCTAGTATATGGTTCCAAATACTGACGCTTAATGGAAACGCAACGCTTACCGTAAAGTAGAGTAGAATGGAGTAGGGCTGGTGTAAACAGGACTTTTGAGTACACTACTTTCTGTTGGACATTCTGACAGCACTGATAATGGAGAGACACCTTTTTAAAACCCTGAGAGAGGAATAGAGCAGCCTTTGGACACAGCCTGAGAGTTTGCATATTTCACAAAACAAAAAGATGCATAAACTGTTCATCCAATCACAATGAAGCGTCCAAAAGTCTTTGAAAAATAAGCTTTAGTTATAATTTGCACAAAAATAACGCTCCGCCGGCTCCAGCTCCAATGAATTTTATCAAAATAGTGTCTGTGGAGGAGGTCTCCTTTGGTTCATGTTTGAAAGTCCGTTGGGTTTGAAAAAAAGAGACGAAAGACAAGGTTTTCTCACATTAACGCACAAACACACGCACACAAACACACACACACACATACACACACGTTCCTTTTGTGATCCGAGTTCAGTCCAGGTGCAGGGGACGAGCTCGCTGCGTCCTCTCTCCTGATTGGTCAGATTCAACAGGCGCCCATGGCCCCTCCCAAAGCTGAAATGACATCACAGTGGGAGAAAATTGTTTTTTTCATGTTTTTTACAATTACACTGGAATGTACAGTCAAATAAATGACACAGGAAAGTCTATAACGTCTGACAATTTGTGGGTTTAGCGCAAGGAAAATTTTGGATAAAAGGAAGTAACTAATAATTATAATAATGAATATGTTTTATACATCACTTTTTGGACCCTCAAAAACACTGTCCATTCACTCCATACACAAACTACTGATAAACTCCTACTGTAGTCACAGCTGCCCTGGGGCACACTGACAGAAGCGAGTTACTCGCCATGTGCCATCGGCTCCTCCCACCACACACACACACACACACACACACACACACACACACACACACACACGAGTGTCTTCCGTGACAACACAACAACTGTTTGACGCTGTGTCACCCTAGAGGTTTCCCATCACAGTACTAACCAGGCCCTGTCGTAATTAGCTTCAAAAGCCTCAGGGGGATCTGGCTTTCACATGCAGGTGGCGCAGGTACAGGTGTTAAAGCTGCACTAACTGACTTTGGGATTTTGAAGCTGCGGACTCGCTGGCCTCGCTCTTTCTGCTCCCCTCCCCGCACCCACGAAGCTATCGCCCCCCACACACACACATTGTTGAGACGGCGCTAGCCTCTCCCAATATGGATAATACATGGATATGGATTTTACCGTGGATGGCGTGACCATAGAACGATAGAACCGGGAAGCGCGGAGGAACGAGACTTTCTTTTGGATGGCTATTTCGCTGTGTAAGCAGTAACTGGTGACGAAGACGAGAAAGTTTCAGGTTAGCTCCGCCGCTTGTTGTGCTAACTCAGCTGTCTATGCTAACGGACCTGTAGATTTCTCACGAAAGTGGGGGCCAGTGGTCCGTTGTGATTGGTCACAATCTGCGACCCGAAACACATTCTCTTCCTTGTTTCATCAAAACTCGATCGAAAATATAATGTCACGCCAGCACAAATCTGCGCTACATTTTCTTCAAAAGGACGTATATCCCAATGCACTACATGGACATGGATAGCATTTTCGTAAATTAATACGAAAATAAAGTCAGTTAGTGCAGCTTTAAATGAACAATAATAAAGTGTCCTAAACTGTCATTGCATTGGTGTGTGTGTGCTTGATTAACTTTTCAACGAGAATAAATGGAGCAACGTGTTTAGGTTAGCAACACACCTTAGCTTCACTTGGTGTGTTGTTGATAAGAGTAGTTTGAGTGCTCTGCAGAAGAGTCCACCTGCTGCTGCTGACCTCCGTTCTCCTGCAAACAAAGACCGAGTTAAAGCTGAGGTACATATCTTTCAGAACACAAAAATGTAACTTTGTCAAAAAATCCACGTCTCCAGTTTTGCATTCAAATGGTGACTCACAGGGCTCTTCTTGCATAAAAGATGACGTTCTCTAATGAGATAAAGACAGTATGTTGTGGTTTGATTTGAACATTTTACTTTCGCCCCGTTTCCACTGAGGCTACGTGGCTCTACTCTACTCTTCTCTACTCTTCTCTCCCCTGATTGGGAGCAATGCCCCTGGCCATGTTAACCAGTCCCTCCTGGCCCTGGTTATATCCGAGCTGAGCTGTTCTCACTGGCCAAAGTGCTGCTGGAAGCCATGGTTACCAAGGAATTACCCTGCATGCTGGTTTGCTGTGGGTAGGTTGCTACAAGAGCAACCTACCTTCTCCACCAACTCCCACTGATGACTGCTGTCGTTGTGTCCTTGGGCAAGACACTTAACCCCACTTTGCCCAAAAGTCCCTGCTGAAAGATCAAGGCTATGCTCACACTCAGAGAGCAGCCGTCCTCCTGTGGACTCACCACCTGCAGAGGGTCAGTGAGGGGCTGGTGCTCTGTGACTTGGGTGCTCTGACTGCCACCCCCCCGACCCAGAAATGGATCAAGGGGTAGAAAATGGATGGATGGAGGTTGCTACAAGACGGTACCCAATATTGAAGGGTAATGGAAACACAAGCAGGAAGAGTCGAGTAAAGGCAAGTTGGTATGGTGGAAACGAGGCCTTTTGCTGCTTTTGACTCTTTCTGGACAAACTACATGTGTTATTTATGAAAGAAAAAAGTCAGGTACCCCAGCTTTGAATTATATTAGTATTTCCGGTTTCTCCCTTTTCCACTGTAAGGATGTTATAATGATAGAATGTTCTGTATCTCACCTCGACTTGGACGTTGGAGGGAGGCACTGGGGTGTACTGGGGGATGTAGGTCCCCTGCATAGAAGTGTTGGCCGGAATATACTGAGAGGTCAAAGGAAACAAGTTTTAAACAAATACAAACACACAAATGTGCCTAAGTGTGTCTATGCGTGTATGTGTGCGTGCGTGGGTTAGGTGTATGTGTGTGTGTAGGTGGGTCTGTGCCTGTCTGTGTGCATGTGTGGGTGCGTAATACTCGCAACCGTGTGTGTTAGTCAGCGAGTCTCTGTGTGTGTGTGTGTGTGTGTGCGTGTCTGGGTGCATGTGTATGTATGTGTGTTAGTCAGCATGTATCTGTGTCTAAGTGTCTACGCGTGTGTGTGCAAGGGTTAGGTGTGTGTGTGTAAGTGGGTCTGTGTATGTGTGGGTGTGTGACCAATAACGGAAATCGTGTGTGTTAGTCAGCGTGTGTGTGTTTGCGAGTCTGTGTGTGTGTCTGTTTGTTTATTTTTATGTGTGTGTATGTGTCTAGGTGCATATGTGTGTGTATATGTTCAAATCAGTATGTATGTGTGTTTGCGTGTGTGTCTCTGTGTGTGTCTACGTGTCTGTGTGTCTCTGTGAGTGTGTGTGTGTTTTGCATGTGTGTGTGTATACTGACTGTGCCAGAGCTGCCCAGGGTCAGGTGGCTGAGCTGCTGGTTCAGGGGCCCCATGATGGAGGTGGGCTGGATGGACATGTGCTCCATGGTCGGGGTGAGGACGGCCCCCTGCAACAGCGCCACACGCAGGTCACTCACAACACTGTCATGGCTGAATATTTGACAAAACACTGGGAGGAGATCCATGTGTTTGTTTGATTTTGAAATTACAGGCTGACTGGGGAAAGACCAGAGATAGACTAGAAAGAGACCAGAGGGAAACGAGGTAGAGACCAGAGGGAGTCCAGAGATAAACCAGGGAGACAAGGGAGAGACCATGGAGACCAGAGAGAGGGAGAACAAAGAAGGACAAGGGAGAAACCAGAGAGATAGACCATAGAGAGACCATCAAAAGAACATAGAGAGATGAGGGACAGACCAGGGATATACCAGAGAGAGACCAGAGAGAGACCAGGGAGAGACCAGGGAGAGACTAGGGAGAGACTAGGGAGAGACTAGGGAGAGACCAGAGAGAGACCAGAGAGAGACCAGAGAGAGACCAGAGAGAGACCAGAGAGAGACCAGAGAGAGACCAGAGAGAGACCAGAGAGAGACCAGAGAGAGACCAGAGAGAGACCAGAGAGAGACCAGGGAGAGACCAGGGAGAGATCAGGGAGAGACAATAGAGACCGAGATAACTACTGTGGTGATTTAAAGCTATACAAGAATACTTTGAATTGAATTGAGTTGAGAACAGATAGAGTCCAGAGAGAGATATGAACAAGAGACCAGGGAGAGACCAGACAGATTAACCAGAAATAGAGATCAGGGAGGTACCAGAGAGAGGTCAGGGAGAGAGAGAGACTAGGGAGAAACCAGAGAGAGACCAGAGACAGAGACAAAGAGAAACCAGAGAGAGAGAGAGACCAAAAAGAGAGAAAAAGAGAGCCCATGGAGAAACCAGAGAAATTGAATTGAATTGAATGGATCTAGACACAACTCCAGGTCTCTAAAGAAGACACAGAGGACACATTGATATGAAGACACGTACTGGCTGCATGAGGTACGACTGGTGGTGCATCCAGGACGGGTTGTGGACCTGGAAAACCACATGGAGACACATTTACCCAACCACAAAGACACAAAGTTATTATAATGTGACATTCTGGTTCACAGCTGGTTAATCAGACACAAGTGAGATACTGTATGTCTTTGGCTTGAACAATATGAGCACATCCGTCTGTGCCTGGTGCTCACCTGGTACAGCGCATAGCACGCATTGGAGCGGCCAGGGTTCGAGTCCCGGCCACTTTGCTCCATGTCACTCCCCCATCTGTCTCCCCCATTTCCTGCCAGCCTACTGTATCTGTCAAATAAAGCCTAAAAGCCAAAGAGACGCAGCTAAATATTTGCTCAAAACATGCAAGAATCATTTAACAACTCGCAGACGTTAAAGATACAACAGCACTTCGACTCCCAGAGCAGATTTTAGTTCAGGCTTTTTCTGTTTTTAATGTAGTTTATTTCTATCTTTAACCACCAACTCATTTTTACTGATTGATTGATTTGAATATACATGGTTTTGGGACTGGTCCTGGTTGTTTTTCCCACCAGAGCAGAGCCTGTGATAGTTACCATAGCAACACACAGTTTATCGTCAGCAGTTGGCTTTTTAGCGTTTATGTTATTTTCATCAGTTTTATCAAAAGGGAGTGAAGGTTATAACCACTAAAATGACTGCTCCAGGAGTTCTAGTGTTAAAGAGCAATTACAATGATACAGTTGTGCTCATAAGTTTACGTTGAAAGATTGAACGATAAAACAAAACGGCGTTTTCAAAGAGCCCATAGTTTCACATAGAGGAGGAGGGCCTCTCTGGTCTCTGTCTCTGGTCTGTCTCTGGTCTCTGTCTCTGGTCTCTCTCTAGTCTCGGTCTCTGGTCCCTCTCTAGTATCCATCTCTGGACTCTCTCTTTAGGCTTTGTCTCTGGTCTCTCTCTGTTTTTGCTCTCTCTCTGGTCTATTTCTCTGGTCTCTCTCTCTCTCTTTCTCTCTCTCACTGTCTCTCGTTTCTATCTCTGGTTTCTATCTCTCTCGTCACTCTTTCTCTCTGGTCTAACTCTCTCTCTCTCTGTTCTATCTCTCTCTCTCTCTCTCTGGTCTCTTTCTCTCTCTCTCTGTTCTATCTCTCTCTTTCTCTCTCTGGTCTATTTCTCTCGTCACTCTTTCTCTCTGGTCTATCTCTCTCTCTCTCTCTTGTCTCTTTCTCTCTCTCTCTCTGTTCTTTCTCTCTCTCTCTCCCTGGTCTCTCTCTCTCTCTCAATAAATCATCACCTCACATTTTATATATTTTTTGCAGTGAGGTCCTACAGAGGGGGTCTGGGCTCAGATACACAAGTCTCTGGTTTATCCGGGCTGGGGGCTGTCTGAGGGGCACGCTCACCTGGTACGAGGAGACCGCGGGAGAGTGCATGTACGGCAGAGACGTCTGAGCCAGCATCCGGTTTGGGCCCAGACTGTACGGGGATGAGTAAAACCTGAGCAAAAACACAAAATATGAACAAACACAAACAAAATATGAAAAAAACACACAAAAAATGAACAAAAACAAACGTAAATGAACAGAATAAACAAACATATGTGATGTAACTAGCGTCACTTCGGCCGTGACTTTTGTCCCCTGAACATGCGACTATTCAGTTTTTCATTTCATGTTTTAGAATGTGACATCATTTCTTTACACTAGAACTCGCAAAGCAGTCAATTTGACAGTTTTTAGTTTTGGAAGTGTAATTACTCAGAGTATTTACATCTTTGACCTTCACAACTGTGTTACTTTTTCTGTCTCTACCTGTAGTTTATTTATTATTGCTATTAAGAAATAAACGGGACAGGGCAGACATTCATTAATAATTAGTCCAGTTATTTTCACCAACTCCAGCTTCTCCCAGTGTCCTGCAGGGGGCAGTGTTCGTCCTCTGCTGAAAGGAAACCTACAGCTTTCTCGAAGGAAGATTCTGTGTGGATTTTAGTTTCTCTTGACTTTTTTTATTTTGAAATTGGTTTACCGTAAATACTAAATACTAGTGCCACAAACTTTTCCCACTCTTGCTCTGCTCTGATTGGTCAGAACGCTCTTATGTTACTCTGGTTCTGTGTAAGTAAAACCACTGCACACCTACAGCACAAGACCAGAAGAACCAGAGCCAGAACGTGTCACTTCTGCTAATGTTGTGGTCGTCCATAGTGCGAGCATGAGCCAATGAACACAGGTCGTTGATCTGAATAGGAGACCCGGGGCTTGAGCAAAGCACTCACCCGTTCTGTAAGGCTGTGGGGTCATACGCCAGCGCCATTCCTCCCTGAAAACACATCACAAGTTCAAATCCATATGTATCTCAGATGAACTAGAAACATGTTCAAAACTATTTTTAAAATAGAAGTGAGTGAGAGGGGTTTGAAGCAAATAAACATGAGGCTGAGGCTCTAGATCCAGGACTGAGGTGATAGATCCTTGCCTGGCCTTAGCCAGTGTCCTTCTGAGAGCATCCTGGTTGATTTTCTGTAATAATTGTGTAAAATATAAACACAGTCATATCTCACCGAGTCGGAGTCCCGGGTCCAGGGCCGGCCGTTCTGCAGGTACTTCCCCTGACTCTGCCTCTTCTTCTGACCGCCATCAGCGAACTTACACAGGAGTGGCTCTGTGGGCGCTGGGGTTAAACAAGATACAATCAACACTATAGGAGAGATTTCAACACACAAACACACACAAACACACGCACACACACACATACACGTTTTTGTTACCTGGTGGGTCCCTTTGACAGGGCCGTTCAGAATGGGACCCATAGACATAATCTTTTTTTACCAAGACTTTAAGTAATACAAAACAGTCAATAGAAACCAAACAACTATTTTAAAGGAATTTTATTTTAGATTTTGTTTTCGAATTGCAGTGATTCTATTTTTGACATAGAATTTAATGCCACTCCATGTCCGATGTCTAAGGTCATCTGGTGAGGCATTAATGCAGGCCAGGCAGTGAGACTTCCCAGGGACCTTTCCAGTCTGTATGAAAGGTGTCATGGTCTTCTCCACAGCCTTCACCTCAGATGCAGACCATGGCTTTCTTACACGTTCTAGGGAGAGAAATAAAAATATATTAGCAATATACACTCCCAGGGTGAGGACCAAGCAGCCTGGCTGTAATCCCCCACCTGGTACACTTACCAGAAGGGGCACTGCCACTACCATGGGGTGCATCTGGATGAATGGTTGAAGGTTCTCCGCTTGAAGTTTCTTTTAGCCCGTCCGTTTGTGAGAGGATCTCTACTGCTCTCCCTGTCGCACAGAAAATAAAAATACAAGTGGCCTTTAGGGGAAAAAAATCATACATATTTTAATAATATCAAGAATTACCTTCAGGCTCAATTTGTATCTGGTCGAGGCTCTTTCCTTCGAATTCCGTCACTCTTCCCTGCTCCATGGCCATCAACACTTTGCTGATTTTGGCCAGCTCCAGTGTCCCCTCTGGTAGTCTGTAATATTGCCTGTGGATGCGAATGTCATGGCCGAGGAAGTTGGCAAGTATGTCCATCTCATTCTCTTTCATATTGAGAACTGTAGACATAGTAGCTATGTGCTTTCTAAGTTTGGTTGAGGATAGCATCTCTGGATGCACCGCACCACATTCTTTGGCTACCTGGCGTAGGGAGTCTGATCCCCTGATGTGGGTGTCTGCGCCCGGGCGGGAAAAGAAGTATGGGTTATGGTCAGAGATGGAACAGGCCCTTCTGTTCTCCACCAGCACCTCCATCGAAGCAATCATTTCAGGAGTCAAAAGAACCGGCACTTTCCGACTTCTTTTCCCTTTAATTTCAATGCGTTGAAAATGCTGACACAGCTTTTTCTCAAGTTGGGACAGTCCCAGAGCAATGTCAGAATGGATCCCAGTCTTACTTCTTAAGGTAAAGGCTGTCAGTGGCATCTTTGAAACCTCACCTTCCCTTCTTCGATTGAAAATGATGACCTCACAAAGAGTCAAAACTGCCAGTTTAGACCAATGCTTAGACGTTGGCTCACTTATTAGGGTTTGCACATATTCAGGTCGACATACCTCAATATGTGCATGCATGGCTCTAACGTCCTCAGTCAGAGGGAGCAGGTCCGGAGTGTTCCACTTGGCTTGCCGGAGGGTCTGTAGGGCAGCAGAAGAAACACAGACGTCCCACCTCTTCTCAAAAAGCAGCCGGCTTCGTTGGAGGTTTTTAATAAATAGTTCATCAACACAATGCTCCATTTTTGAGTCACATTCAAGAATATCTGCTAGCTTTCTGAGGCTATGGCCGAGTTTGAGGGCCAAGGATGGAGTCTTGTATTGATTTGTTTCCTCATCATATCCAGCCACAGACCTGACTGCATCAATCACATGGTTAAAGTTGGAAGGAATAAAGAAATCCTTAATTGTTTTCAGTTTCCCTGCAGTTTTTGCTTCGTTAATTAACCTACCGACTTCTCTCATTTTCTGCCTAATGTAATCATGCTTAGTCTTATCATGCCCGTGTTTTAAGTACAGGTGCTCTCCGAGTCTCAGAATCCCCTTTTCTGCTTTGACAACACCCGTGACCTCATCCTGATGCATTGCCGAAATTAAAGACCACAGCTTTTTGCTGATGCCCTCCGGTACAGGCTGGGCTAGGGAGCAGAGGGACTGGACCCTACTTCTACCTGGTTTAGCCTGGGCATCTTTCTGTGAAAGCCGGCACCTGGCCACATGCCTCCACAGCGACTTTCGCTTAAGCAATGCCCCACAGTCTATACAGTGCAAAAACTCACTGGATTTAACTGGGGAATTTGGCTGTTTAGCTGGGACTAAAGTTCCAATGCCGGCCTTTAAAACCTCAAAATTGTGCTCACGGTTTCCACTATTCCTGATCAAATCAAACTGAAGTTTACGTGCTTTAGATTTCACAGGTAGAGCCAATGCTCTGGCTACGTCACTTTCATTTCCATGTTTTCTAGTCAAATGACGGGACATTTTGTGGCAGGACATTGAACAGTAGAGGCAGAAGTGTCTCTTGCTGTATACTCGCCCCCCATTTTTCTTCTTTTGCAGCTGCATGATAACAATCTTATTTGCCTTTGGTTCGTCACTTTCCGAGTCTTGAAGAAAAGTGTTTTTGATTTTTCTTTTTCCATACTTTTTTACAGGTTTCTTCTTGACAGTTAAATCGTCAGAATCTGAGTCGACTTCATCAATTAGGGACTCTTGACTAAGCTGCACAAACAACAAATAATTTGTAATCATTCTATATAACAATTTGAAGTCATGACTTGTAGTCAGCACTTACCAGTGGTTTGTAATGTGCGCTTCAGTGTGCTCCTCCATGATTTCTTGCAGCCTAATGAACCACACACTTGCACCTTTTTCTAGCCTGACACCTGATTTCCTCTGTTGTGCTGCTCCATGATTGGCTCCAGCCTGCTGGACTGAAATTGCCCCAGTGTGCCCCTCCTTGATATCCCGCAACCCACCACCAGGGTTCCGACACATAACACACTTTTTTCAGGAAAGTAAACCTCCAGGGGTCCTTTCCATATTTTTACAGAGACTGCATAAGGACCGTTAGAAAAGCATTACCCATTGATTATTAAGCTTGGACCAGTGGGGTCCGGTTGCATTGTTATACGTGCTGTGGAGGTGATAGTGTTTTTGATTCCTTGTACTTTGTCATCGAAAAAATCTGTGCGAACTCATTACACCTAGATTTAGAGGAAAATTCTAGGGGCAACTTTACAGGGGGGTTCGTTAATCTACCAACTGTTGAAAACATAACACGAAAATTGTTACTGCAACCTCCAATAATGTCAGAAAAATACATTTCTCTTGTTCTACGTAGAACCCGGTTAAATTCACCCAACTCATCTTTAAAGATTTCATAATCGCCCTGGAAATTGGACTTTCGCCACTTCCGTTCGGCCCTCCGGCACTCTTGCTTCTGTGCCCTAACCGAGTCTGCCTTAGTCCATGGGGCCTTTTTCTTACTGGTAACTATTTTAACCGTCACAGGAGCAATGGCGTCCAGAACAGTCAGAACACTGGTGGTGACAGAGTTATACAATTCATCAACAGTAGAGCATGGAGTTTTCTCAAAATTTAGCATTCCCATGAACAGTTCACTTGTGTTTTCATGTATGTGTCTTCTTCTAACAGTTGTAAATTCAGCTGGTGGTTTGCTAGCAAAACACATGTCAAAAAATACACAGAAATGATCTGACAAAGCAACATCAACTACATTAACATTTGATACATTAACCCCCTTTGTAATTAGCAGGTCAAGAGTGTGCCCCCTGCTGTGGGTGGGGCCACTCACGTGCTGAATGAAACCAAAGGTCTCAAATACAGAAGCCAGCTCCTTTGCATTTCTGTCATCAACATTATCAACATGTACATTAAAATCACCTGTAATAACTAAACTATCAAAATCTGTGCACACGAATGAAAGTAGTTCAGTAAAATGGTCAATAAAATCGCAACATGACTGTGGTGGCCTGTACAGGACAATGAAAAGAGTAGAAGATTGCTTTTGTTCCATTTTAAAAGAAATATACTCAAACGATGAAAAATTTCCAAGGGGCATTCTATGGGAGACAAAGTGCTCTCTAAAAACTGCAGCTATGCCTCCCCCCCTTTTGTTTTCTCGTATTTCGGATTCGAATTTAAAATTGGGTGGTGTTGCTTCTATTAGAACTGCATTTCCTGTATTTTGGTCCAGCCATGTTTCAGCCATAAGCATAAAATCAAGATCATAAGAAGTGATAAAATTATTAATTAAAAATGATTTGTTACATAGAGATCTGACATTAAGCATAGCAAGTTTAAAAATAACGTCAGAGTCGATTAATGTGGTTGATTGATTTCTACAGGGAACAGAAATTAGATTTGCAGAGTTGGACCGTCTAACTGCTGTCCTGTTTTGATTTCGTTTTTTAGAATTTAAAAACATTTTTGAGCTGGTGCGAGGAACACACACAGTCTCAATTGGCCTAAAATGTGAAAACCCTTGTTGTTCTTTAGCTCCCAGAGTCAGAAGGGAGTCAGCACAGTTCAGTGTTTGGACTGGTAATGCACTGCCAGACGGACAGGGAGCAGTGTTTGCACCGTTGTACTCACCCGGTGCTGGTGAGCAGGAGGCGGGGGAGTGCGGTGGGGTCCGAGGGGGCTCAGATGTAAACAGTCACGCCCCCCTCGGGGAACGCTGAACAACATAACGTATGTAATCCATCAACAGGCTGCTACCGTATCTGTTTGGGTGTAATCCGTCTGGACGATAGGCTTCGTAACGTTTCCAGAAAAGGGCAAAGTTATTCACAAAGACAAAGTTAAAAGAGCTGCATGTAGCCTGAAGCCACACATGCAGCGCCACAACACGACTGTAGAGGCAGTCACCTCTGTTTACAGTCTGGATTGGACCAGAAATAAAAACAGATAGTCCGGAGGATTGAAGGAGGTGGAACAGATCCATAAAATGTTTCTTCGTGACTTCTGACTGCTGAAGTTTCATGTCGTTAATTCCCACATGCACGACTACCTTGGAAACGGTATCAGGCAGGGACTGAAGCAGAGGAGGGAGACGTATGAGCAGGTCTGGTACAGTAGCTCCGGGAATACAGCGAGTGACCGCGTTAAAGAAGCGGACGTGTCTCACGATGGAATCTCCAATAATCAGAGTGGTCGGGGCGAAGAGTGGCCTCGGAGAAGGAGCTCGGTGGACGGAACCAGCGGGTTCACCCGAAGCAGGACCCGAGCCTGAGCGCCGCTGAACACATGGAGAGGAGGAGCGGGGGTGCTGACTCTCAGCTACAGGCGACCCACGCTGTGTGCTCGGGGACGCTGGAGCGGTGAGAGGGGCTGGCTCTGGGCGCTGCTGCTGACCCGGTGGAGGTGAGCGATGGTGATGATGGCTCGCTACCCCAGTCTGAGGCTGCTGCACTGGGGTCAAAGAAGGGGAACAGGCCAACATGGCTGGTGGACCGCTCTTTCGCCTGAGGACTGCTTCCTTTAGGAGCGTTTTCCTCGCAGTGGACTTGGATCCTCGAGCAGTAGAGTACGCTGCAGTGTCCAGGGATTCTGCTGAGGGGGCCGGGATGTCAGTGGAGAGGGCTGCATAGCGGTTTGCCAGATTCAGGACATGGGCCACGGCGCAGGATGGCTCCTCGGAATCCGCGGGCTCGTTATTCGTAAGCGGGCGCTTAGGTGTAGAACAGGAGGGTCCGGAGCTGACGGATCTCTCCCACACGACAGTGTCACAATATGCAGCGCTCAGTGACATAAGCCGTGAGTGCTGCCCACCAGCGACTTCAAAAAGTTTGGATACTAGAGATTGTTTCTCATTCAACTCTGCGGTGAGACGAAGGACTTCTTTTCGTAGATCTGCAATGGTGGCACGGTCGCTCTCACGGAGCTCCAAGGTGAGGCGACTAATATTGTGCATGTTTGAGCCAATTTCATTGTCACTTTCCATGTCCTCGTTAGCTTGTGTTAGCCTCTGTGCTACTAGTGGGTTTCAGTCGGGACTAAGTGCTATTTGCTGAAACCACTGAATTAAAAAGATAAAACACTCAGATATATTAAAAAACTGAACAATAAAAACGCGCTAAAAAGTTGTTAAAAGTTTACTAAAAAGGTGCACAGAGCAGCCCTGCAGTACTGCTTACTTTGACTGCTTACTTTGACACACCACCAGGATACGATGTACGCTAACTATGTTCAGCCGGGCTTAATTTCTTCTTTGATCATTGTCTCGCTTTAGTTCCCTCTTCTCCTCCTCACTTTTGCGTCTTTTGGGCTGTTTTGTTGTTTATTCAGTTACAGGCAGAGGAGTTAAAGCCACTTTCCCCTGCTGTTGTTTACATGCGCTGCAGAGTGTCACTCAACGTTTCTATTCAGCACTTTTTATGGCCTGAATTTATACACAAGCTGAATCAATGAGCTCATTTTTTCAATTAAAGTTCGGATTTTAATACAACTTTTAATACAACTTAGAAAAAACACTCTTCTACAGAAAGACAGAATGTAGTTTTTTTAATGTGGATTTATTGTTATAATAAAACAAATACAGTACATATATACACTTTGTTGTCATTTATCTTTCCATTCAAGCAACCATTTACAGAAAAATATGGCATAATTTTGCCGATAGTTTGAAATGTGATAAATTACGATTAATTAATTTTTAAGACGTAATTAACTCAATTAAACATTTTAATCGTTTGACAGCCCTAATTTATACAGTACAGACCAAAAGTTTGGACACACCTTCTCATTCAAAGAGTTTGTTTTATTTTCATGATTATGAAAATTGTAGATTCACACTGAAGGAATCCAAATTATGAATGAACTCATGTGGAATTTTGTACATACAAAAAAAAGTATGACGCAACTGAAAATATGTGTTATATTCTAGGCTCTCCAAATTAGCTCTTGATGAGCTTCAAGAGGTATTGACCTGAAATGGTCTTCTAACAGTCTTGAAGGAGTTCCCAGAGATGCTTTGCACTTGTTGGCCCTTTCGCCTTCTCTCTGGTCCAGCTCACCCCAAAACCATCTGAATTGGGTTCAGGTCCGGTGACTGTGGAGGCCCAGGTCATCTGGCCCAGCACCCATCACTCTCCTTATTGGTTTAACAGCCCTTACACAGCCTGGGTGTGAATCTACAGTCAAAAGTCATGAAAAGAAAGGAAACTCATTGAATGAGAAAGTGTGTTCAAACTTTTGGTCTGTCCTGTGTATATGAAGCTTTTTAGGAGTGAAATATGGAACCAATTTCATGGGTAGCAACAACCTAGCAACCAACATTTAGAAAACAAATTCTGATCATCGGTAGAAGAGGAGTTTCTGTCATTGTCAATTAGAATTAGAAAACATGTTGGTTTGACAAGAAATAGCCTCACACAACTACAACCACCAACTAAGAGAAAACGTGTTTGTAATCTTTCATAATCTGTGAAATATGGCCAATATTTACCGACATTTCACTGTGCAAACTCTAAAGCACAGCTGTCTCTGTGAGCCTTTGTAACGCTGGGACAGCCCCTGGAGCTAGCGGCGCTAAAAGAGTCGTTAGCTCAGCACTGACGTCTCCAGGTCGAGTTACACGGCTGTAAAAGAGACGTGTGGCGACCATCTGAAATATTCCTCATAAATCACACATGAAACGGAAAGCTGTGACCTGAAGCCCGAAAAACTAACTCCAGGGGGATGAGCTCAGTCACATAGAGTTTATGGAGGTGAAAGCAGGACACTCCGGGCTGGCGTTGTCCTGATACAGAGCTGTCAATTCAATTAATTTCAATTTATTTGTGTACAGCCCTAAATCACAACAGTAGTCGCCTCAGTAACAGATCAGAGAATCAAACAGTTTAAACACAGGAAAGGCAATAGTACACATAGGAGCGGGATGGCACTGTCCAGAAATGTGCATAAATGTCCTTAAAAGTCCTGGATCATCACTGTCCTTAGACCCTCCTTCATTGACATGGTGCCTCTCAAAAATATAAAACAGTGAGAAAAGTGCAAAACCTCAGAGAGAAAGAGGGATTCACTGCAGACAGGCTGTGGATCCAGGACTGAGGCTTTAGATCCAGGACTGAGGCTGTAGATCCAAGACTGAAGAGGCTCCCAGGCAGGGGAAAGGGATGCAGCCCACGAGCCTAAGGCAAAGACAACCAGTTCACAGGTGCAGATAAAAGAGTCCGAGTTCAGGGGTCGCAGCATAACACCATGAATCACACAATGGGACAGCAGGTGAAAAGCAATGAACAGACTACAGCTGAAATCATTTTGATGACAGATACAGAGAGAGGAGAGGATAGTACTGTTCCCAGACTCCTCCAGCAGGGGGTTCCATATGCAGCATCACCAGTGGGGGGCGGGTCCCGGCTCAAAAAGGTCCATGAAACAGAATTATCCAATTAATTTCGCTTTACAGCCTGGTCCAAAAGTCAGCTCTTGACTCATCTAAGTTAAAGATACGTGTCAATGCCGAGGAGAGTTTTTTTTTTGGACCACTGTGGACTTTTTAATGACCGTATTTCTTCAGCCATGTGTAAGGCTTGTGCCATTTAACGCATGCGCAAATGATACAGCCTCCGCTCCCGAAAGCGACTCTAGCAGCTAACCCAGGCGCAAATTAGTTTTTTCACCATTTTCCTGCTGGAGGTGTTTCTGGCGGCCATTTTGAAAAGATCCACGTTGGTCACATATAGGCGTCACTACGTCCGTTAAAATGCACAGTCTATCACTGCCAATCTGCGTTTTTGACTTCACGTAGCTCTAATCTCTACGTCGTACCTCCTGAGCCATCCTTTCCAGCTCTGCGTCTGTTTGGGCCTTTCCCGGTTTGCATTCTGCTGGGAAATATGTAAACATGCTTTCTGTGAGGCCTTTTAAGTCTTCAAAGCTGTGGAGATTATTCCGAGATACATTTATGATTGATTCTGGGGAGTTTGAGTCATCTTCCATTGCTCCAAGAGTCTGTTTTTCATTTGGGATGTGCAGTTTTGTCATTTCATGTCCTCGTTCAGTTCCACGCAAATATGATTGGGATTGTGATGACTGGCACATGCTCTGGGATTGGTCTGAGGAAAAAATATGTATTCCATTCTAAAATCGAATTGGTAATTGGGGAAATTACCAACTTTTTTTTGTTTTTTGTCAAATGATCTACGCTCTCATGTGTTATTTATCTATTTCAGCTGAGCATGTGTAAAAATTAGTGCTGTCAAACGAACAAAATATTTCCCTGGTCTAAATGTAGCCATACAGGAGGAGCATGCCAGACCTATTAGTGCAGTACAGGTTTTTAGTGGTAGGGCAAACCGGAGCACCCGGAGGAAACCTACGCAGACACAGGGAGAATATGCAAACTCCACTCAGAAAGGCCCTGTTACGACCGGGATTCAAACCTAGGACCTTCTTGCTGAAAAGCCAGGGTACTATCCACTCAGCCGCCTTTTCAAACCAAACCTTGATTGTCAGGGCAGTAACCCTCACTCACTGCCCCGACGAAGACTTTTGTCGAAACGCGTCGGTTCATAATTATAAAGAACACAGTTTTCAGAGTGCCTCATTCTCCATTTCTTTCATTGCAAACCTTGATTTTGTTTGAAAAGGGATTATTGAATCAAAAAGCTTATAATAATCCAATCCCCCAATCCCCCCATTCAAAAGTATTTGTATTGTGTTTTATGGCTGCTCCATCTCTGCTTTTGTTTTTGCTTTTTACAGTGTATGGAAGCATTCAACATAATAGAAATGACCTGAAATGCACCATAAAGTCGTTTATGTTTTCTGTCAGTTAGATGGTTTTTACAGTATATATGACTACGCAGTGTAAATATCTATAGCTTCAACATTTGGGCTGGAGATAGTTGTGATTACTGATGGACGTAATCAGTAAGTCAGTAATCAGCAGTGAGCGGGACTGCTTTTGTTTTCACCAACACCAGCTCCACCTCACGTCCCCGACACAGGGCCTCTCCGTTATCCGCAGCGGTGCGCGAAGGGTGCGTGCTAATTTCAGATACGTACCCGTGGTAGAAGCCTGGAGCAGCAGACTGACCCGACGGCTAGGTGCTCGTCAGCCCAAAATGGCACACGTCACGAGATAAACAAAATTGCTTAATCACTGTTATTAATGCTTTTAACGAACAGAACTTGCAAAAACAGGGCGACAGTAGCTCAGTTGGTAGAGCATTGGCCTTCAGGCCTGAAGGTCGTGGGTTCAATTCCCACCTCTACACCTTCTCCACCGACTCCCACTGATGACTGCTGTCGTTGTGTCCTTGGGCAAGACACTTAACCCCACTTTGCCCAAAGCCCCGACTGAAAGATCAAGGCTATACTCACACTCAGAGAGCAGCCGTCCTCCTGTGGACTCACCACCTGCAGAGGGTCAGTGAGGGGCTGGTGCTATGAGACTTGGGTGGCATCTCTGATTGCCACCCCCCTGACCCAGAAATGGATTAAAGGGTAGAAAATGGATGGATGGATGGAACTTGCAAAAACTAACCCACAAAATCAAAATCAAGGCAAGTTTATTTGTTTAGCACAATATATGGATTTTGTGTCATCGCGATGCCTTTTGAATATGAAACTATTAAAGCTGAGATGCATAACTTTTGAAGCACACATCTAAAATGTATCGGACGTTGCGCTCTCAAAACCATTTCTTTCTATCTTCTAGTTTTCACATGCATGCGTTTTTGGCCTCCTCGCATCAGCTTTTTCAACCGGAAAATGTTGGCCCGATTTTACTTTAACTCATCTCATTCTGTTGGGACAAACAATGTGATTATTTCTGGAAGCAAAAAAAAGTTGGGCCCAGTTTTAACAACACACGGCGGCTGATATGACCGGACACATTTGCAGAGATCTTACTATAGCTCTCTGTGTTGTGTTGTCTGTGGCTGTAAATCTGGGACTGGTGCAACTCGAGAGAAGCTCTGGAAACATAAAATATTCAGGTCCCGGTGTCAGTGACCACAGCGCAAGAGCCGAGACCCAGAGCAGTGCATTCTGGACCTTGAACACCATCTTGAGAATAAATACAGAACCCTACTCTACTCTACTCTACTTGGTTCTGCTCTATACTGTTTTTGTGGGAGCTTTTCTCAATGTGCTTGTCAAGATCATTTAAACATCATAGATCCACTAGTATAACGTGACAGTTACCATGGTCTCCGTCTCCGGTCTCTCTGTGGTCTCTCTCTCTGGTCTCTCTCTGGTATCTTCCCAGTCTTTCTGGTCGCTCATGACGGTTACCTTTCTCTTTCCGCTCTCTCTAGTCCCTCTCTCTGGTCTACCTGTGGTCCCTTTCTTGTCTCTGTGGTCTCTCTGTGGTCTCTATGGTCTCTTTCTGATCTCTTCCTGGTCTCTTCCCGGTCTCTCTGGTCTCCCTCTGGTATCTTCTGGGCCTCTTTCTGGTCCCTCTCTGGTCTGTCTCTTTGACGGGTGTATACTCCAACATCATATACATCATATAACCGCTAGCATAACATGACGTTTACCTTTATTTAATGTCAGAACAACACTTTTTTATAACTTATCTGTACCACAGTGTTTAGTTCAGAGGACTACCACAGATTTCCCGTAGCCCTCAGTCCTGCTCCTGCCCCTCAGTCTCCTCTGCAGGTGTATTTTACAGTGTACGCACAGCTTTTGACAGCTGCAGCAGCGCTCAGACCTCCAACCAACAGGTTCCATATCTCTGCAATCGCGCTTTAGCAGCCATGAGTTCAGGTGGTTAGAAAAGTGAATATTAAGTGTGTGTGGGTTTTACAGCTTTAAAACATCCAGCTGCTTCTTCAATGATTTCACTTATTGCGGGTTATTGTAGAACGTAACCCTCACAATATACAATAACTGTATTATTTATGGAAAAGTTAGATAACCCAGCTTTATTTTAGCTGCGCAAATGTACATGTTGTGAAGCTTTTGTTGACGTGCGGGTAGTTGCTGTGGTTCCTCTGGCCGAATAGGAGCAGGGTCAGCTGTATAACAGTAACAGTAATCTTTATTTATATACTGCCTTTTCACTGCACATCGGAGTCTCAAAGCGGTTTACAATTGTTATTTTTTAGGGCATTTGTCCTCTCACTCCACACAGAGATGGGAGCGGGGTCGCCAGTACAGGAGGCGCATGCCAGACCTACTGTATTGCACATATTTTTAGTGGTAGGGGAAACCGGAGTACCCGGAGGAAACCTACGCAGACACGGGGAGAACATGCAAACTCCACTCAGAAAGGCCCTGGTCCGACCGGGATTCGAACCCAGGACCTTCTTGCTGAGAGGCGAGAGTGCTATCCACTCAGCCACCGTGCCGCCACATACAAACTATGTGCCGTATACAAACTATTTTTTGCACTAGAATATACAATATTTATACTTTTGTTAAACTCAGAGATTTCAAGCTTAGTTGTTGTTTCTTTATCATGCTAAAGTTGGAGATTTATGACTTGCTTCTTTATTACGCTAATGTCAGAGATTGTATTCTTAATTCTTGCTTGTTTATTGCGCTAAAGTCAGAGATTTCAAACTTAATTCTTCCTTCTTTATTATGCTAAAGGTAGAGATTTTATTTTATTTTAGCATAGAGTTCTTGCTCACTTATGCTCCTCATTACTACTAAACTGCAAATAATGATGCAACACTGAAATTTCCCCGCTGTGGGACGAATAAAGAATCTCTTAATCTCAACATGGACCGATTCTTCTGGTCTCCTCTCCACCCCGGCTGAGAGTCCTTTTGAGATTCCTCTGCGCTCCGGGAATGCGTGAGAGCGAGCGCGGCGTCAGATTACAGTGTACATTCCACAGACGCCATGTTGGCTCGCACCGGCCGCTCTGATTGGTCCACGGTCAGACAAGAACAGCTCTATTATCCGCTGCTGCTGCTGCTGTCTGCTCTGGGCTCTGACCTGGGATTGCATAAGTTCGAGTTCACACACCTCAGTGTCTACCGGCGCACGACAGGGCTGTTTGTGTCCAGTCTGGGCTAATTGTCGATGTTTACTATAGATGGTGAAATGATTCTTGAAGCTGGGGTACCTAACTTTCAAACCACATCAGAAATGACGGTAATAAAGTCCATCTCACTGTAGTCCCTGACTCCAAACACTTTGCTTCTATCACTAGTTTTCACATGCATGTGTTTCTGCCTCCGTCACGTCTGTAGATCATTGACTGTGTATTAGGAGTGGACTGACAGAGTGTGACATCACCATGTGTTGTGTAGAGGAGTTTACGTTTACATGTAAGTCAATAGGAGCCCGAGCGATTGCCCACGAGCACTTCACTTTTGGGCTTCAAAGAGCTAGCAGGTTAGCATTGTTTGTCTCTATACAGTCTATGTTTTGGATCCGCTTATTCAGACAGAAAAGTGAATAAGAGAAGACCACCCTCACTCAGCCAATCAGCTCTCAGCCCAAAGAGTCAAATTGTGACTTGCATGGTTCTTTCCTACACAAAATATGAGGTTGTGGAACATTTTACAAGATTCTTTCCGTAGGGACAAACAACATGTTATTATTTTTCATTAAAATATGGGTACACCAGCTTTTAGGAGAAAATCTATGAATATACATATAATGGAATAAGATGGCCCACTTCTATCCAATACATTTAAAGCTAGGGTACCTAATTCTACATATTAGTACATATTTGTTGTCTAAACAATTTTCAGCATTTAAATCAGACGGATTTGTCTCGATAGCATTTTTGTGATTTTTAGTCACAAACAGATCTTGTTACTGTTACTTGTGATGTGACTTTTATCTGTATAAAAATATGAGACTTGGACCGGACTTGAACTTAAGTTGGACTCATTGCTCCAGAGACTTGGACTTGACTTGGACTCCAACCTACTTTACGCTCGATGAAGTCCTGTTCCAAACGTCCACCGGTTTATTTAAAGATGCTTCTCAACTTCATATTTGATAAAAGAGCTCTGGAATAAAAGTCTAAAAACACAGCGACTGATCTTTTTTTAGCTCAGAAGAGTCGAAAACCAAAGGAGACGAGACGAAAGAGACAGAAGAGAAAGTTTTGTTCTATAAAGTTTAGTGTGGATGACATAACAAATGAAATGGACTGTCACTTACCACCATGGATGGATGATGGTGTTGCTACTTACACCTATCTCCACATGAGGCCACCCGCGGTACTGCAGCCTAAAGCCACACTTGAAAAAAAATTGATATCTGTCGGTTTTCTATAAATCCTCACTTTTGTGCCACAAACTCTGCCCGCTCTCGCCCCGCTCTCGCCCCGCTCTCGTCCCCCAGAAATGCGTCCCGTACAGAAGTTGAAGTTGTTGGTGATTTGGAGTCAGATGCCGTTAGACCTCTGAAGCTAAGCAGGCCAGGGCCTGGTTAGTACTGTGATGGGAGACCTATGGGAACAAGTGGTATCACAGTGGGGCAGCTAAAGATGTAAAGTGCCAAACTGTGGTTATGTCCACATAACCACAGTCCTCCTAGAATGAGTCTTGTGTGTGTGAAGGGTTGGTGGTGGTCGGAGAGGCTGATGGCACATACTGGTGGCCTCACTTCTGTCAATGTGCCCCAGGGCAGTTTTGGCTACAGTAGTTCTTTTTGAGTGTCCCCTTACTGCTGTCACCTTATTGCACTGATTACTGCATATTGTGTGCACCATGTGCACTTGTATATAGTCATTGTATTTGTGATAATTCTATTTTTATTTCATACCTTAGTGTTGCTGATTTTTTTTATTATGCCTTACCCTATTCTTTTCCTCTCTTTCTGACTGTTGCACCAAGCAAAAGGAATTTCCTAGTCTGTGACTTTCTGTTACTCACATGGCATTAAAAATTATTCTAATTCTGATTCTGATAAAAGAACTATATAAAATCGATCCATTATTATTATTATTAATATTATTTTTCTTTTGTATTTAACAGTTTTTTGTTTCTTTTCCAGATATGGCAAAATTGTTTCAACCAAAGCGATCTTAGATAAAACCACAAACAAGTGCAAAGGTGAGTGTTGTGGTGGAAGGCAGGAGTGGATGTTTTTAAAGTTGTTTTGACGTATGTTTTGGTGCGTGTTCTGCAGGTTATGGCTTTGTGGACTTCGACAGCCCAGCGGCGGCACAGAAGGCGGTCACTGCGCTTAAGTCCAGCGGGGTCCAGGCTCAGATGGCCAAAGTAAGGATCAAACTGTTCACTTGCAGCCACTCGAGCCTTTCGACCTATTTAGCTCACACAAACAAATAATTCTATGTATTTTTCAATTCTATTTATTTATAAATTATTTATATCTAGTTATATTCACCAATTGCACTTGTTAAAACGGAGTAAAGATAAAGTCCTTATAAATGGCTGCCCTGGGAGTCCTAACCCTTGTGGACGGTCTGGGGAGGAACTTCTGTCCTGTCACTCACTCCTGACGCAGTGTGGCTGTTCTCTGTCCTGCTGTAACCTCCCTCTGTTGGGGGCTCGTCCTCTCGCCTTTGTCCCCGGTCAAAGCTCCTCTGTGGTTCTGTTCCTGGAGGCGGGGGGAGGTGGGGGGAAGCAAGGGTGAGGAGATGGGGACCAGTGTCAATGGGACAGATACAATATGTCGTTGTTGTCGTCACACTGAGCTCCTCCTGCTTTTGAAATGTGACAAAAACACAGCATTATACAGAAGGGGCGGGGGGACATACAGTGGCTCGCAAAATGACTAATACATAGTGTGTTGAATAAGAAGAACATGCAAACTCAGAAAAGCCCTGTTCCGACTGGGGTTTGAACCCATGTCCTTCTTGAGAGTGAGAGTGTGAACCAATCAGCTAACATTGAACATTTATTGTAATCACAATAAAATACATCATAAAATCCCACATAAAACCAAAAAAGATGAAAATATTATTATAAACCATTAAACAATAATAGAAACAAAGATTGGGGGAAATCTAGAGTCCAGCGAGGTCCAGGCTCAGATGGCTGAAGTAAGGACCACACTGTTCATTCAGACAGATACCCGAGCCCCCTCAACTGCGTCCTCTCCACATGGAGAAGCAGCGGCTCTACTCTGAGCTCCTCCCGTGTGACTGAGCTCCCCACTCTATCTCTAATGCCGCGTTCAGACCGCAAACGCTCAAACGCTGAAGCCTCGCTCACCAGACGCGCATTCTCTAGTTTTCAGACGCAGAGGACTAGTTTTCAGACGCAGAGCACACCAGAACGTCCTGACCAGCGCCGGAAATGGCGGGAGTAGCCGGCCAGCTCTGATGCTAACAGAGTTATGCTAGCGGCTTCTCGTGTAAAGATCTTCTCCAATAATGCAGCTTTGCAGGGTGTCTGAGTTCAGAGACCTTCCACAGACTTTATATAACAGTAGTATGTGTTCACGGAGGTGCGTTTATTTTATTATTAAACGGTATTTCCGCATCAGCAAACACTCTCGAAGCAGTTGCATAAAGTCACGGGAGCATGACAACACATATATTCACAAGCACTATATCCCCCATTGTCAACCCTGGTTTAGTCCTGATGTAGCTCCTGTTTTAGCTGTGAACAGTATTTTCAGTCTGCTCGCTCAGACCACTAATGTCCCTGTGACCACTTTGCGGCTCTCTGATTGGTCGCTGCACGAACGTCCCGAGGAAAGGTTGAGCAAAGTTTATCTCCTGTGGACGTCGTTTTTTTACGCTCCTGCTCCTCCCCTTTGACTTTCCCGCGCAGTCCGTGCATCTCTACTGCGCGGTCTGTGCATGCGTTTTGACGTTCGAACGCGCGTCACCATGATCCAGTCTGAACGCGGCTTAAGGGAGCAGCCCCTCTGTGGAGGAAGCTCATGTGAACCACTTGTGTCCCCGATCTCGCCCCTTTTCAGCCATTACCCAAAGCTCAGGAGCAGACGTGAGGGAGGGGACGGCACATACTGAGTCCCTCACTTCTATTTTTTTAGCTCCCACAGCCGGAAGCTCTTAATATCAGCGTGATGATAAAAGACTCTGTTTCCATTGTTCCTGACCACAACATACTCAATCAGTCCCTTCACTTGTGTGTGAGCTCCCACCGGCCTCACCTCACCCTCAGAGGCGTTGATAGCCTCCGTGAGACAGATTTACCCCCTGCATGTGAGCTCCGTCCTGGGTCGGCCCGGGTCAGGAGCTACACACGCTGGACTGCTGCACAACACAACAATGCCACGGTTAAAAATAGCCTCCTCGCACCCGCACGGAAAAGGCACCAGCCGGAAAATCCACCGGACACGCCCAGAGTGAGTGGACAAGACACGCGCTCTTACATGCTACACATAGTTCCAATAGTGCGGCCATGTTTGGAATCTGATTGAGAGAGTTTCAGCCGAAGGAGCCGAAGCTACAGGTGTTATGTTGTTTGTGTGTGCGTGTGTGTGTCCGTATGTGTGTGTGTGTGTGTGGTCCTATTTCAACTGCATAAAACTACATTCAAGCAAACACCAACCTGTTACAAAATGATTCCGTCCGCACCAATATCAGCAGCTTCTAACTCCTTACGTTGCTCTTCAAACTATACAATTTTCTTCAGCTGTGCTCCCAGTGTTTCTCATACTGACCAAAAACCACACTGATCGACACAGATTTGTGTGTCAAAACAAATCTGCGTCCATCCCGCCTTGCGACCAAGTCTTTATGTGAACGTTCCGACCAAAAATACTAAAAATAATAACTCGCTGCTCACATGTGGCTCAGGGGAAGAAGGTTCTAAAACTACACACAGGTCACAGCAGGGACTTTGCAAAATGACAGCGTAACGAGCTGTGGAGCTGCGTTTGGGTGAGTGAGGTTCTTTGCTTAATAAAGTTGTCTTGGTAAAAAAATATGTTTGATAATGTTTATACTGCTCCACGTGGATGTGAAACCTTGGTCTCTCTTTCTCTAGTCTCTCTCTGGTCTCACTCTCTAGTCTGGTCTCTCTCTCTGGCCTCTCTCTGGTCTTTCTGGTCTCTCTCTCTGGTCTCTCTGGTCTCTCTCTGGTGTCTCTCTCTCTCTGGTCTCTCTCTCTGGGGCTCTCTGGTCCTGGGTGCAGACTGATTTTGAAAGTTTATTTTGACCCTTTTATTTTGACACGTTCCTGTCTTCCTGGTGGTGAAACAGCGACACGGGTCCAAACAACATGCTGACCTTTCTCATTGTTGTTGCTGCTTGTCAACACAACATTTCAACACAGGTCTTTGGTGTAAAAAGAAGATGGAGCCCTGCCCCGTCTGTCTAAAAGCTTCTGTCTCAGTCCTGCATGTCATAGTGATGTCATAGTGGCACGTGATGTCATCGTGCCACGATGACATCACACTCACAGCTTCTTGACTTTTAATTTTTTTTTTTTTTTTTTTTTTTAAGTTTATTTGCAGAAAAAAAGAAGACATACAAAACAACAGTGATACAAAAACATACATAGACATTCAGGTATACATAAAGGTGAACATACAGGTAGACGTACAGGTAGACGTACGGGTAGATATACAGGTAGGGAAACAGGTATTGGCGGTAAAAAGGGTTGAGGGGGGAAGGAAAAAGTTAGTTAGTCAACATCGGCGGTAACATAGGATTCTTTAGTTGGAGAGAAGGAAGCGTAAATAGAAGAGTGACAATATTTGCACATCTATACACCCACAAACACACTATGTATATATATGTGCCTACATATGTGCACATATACACACATACACACAATACACACACATACATCCATATATACACATATACATATACGTACACACATATACCCATACCCATACATACACACCCACATAACGCGTATATATCACACATATACTCAAATACACATACATATTTAACTACATATGCATACATATATAACTATACGCCCGTGCATATACACATCTATACACTTCTATTCACATATACAAGAGAGACATAAAATAACAAGGTTAACAATAATAACAATCAGTCAGGAGAAAAGGGCAGGGGGACTGTAACAAGAAGGGTGTGTGGATCATTATTTATAGATCTTTATATTACATTTATTTATTTATTTATTTTTTAATGAATTAATATTTACTCGTGGGTGTAGTTGAGTACTAAGCCAGGCGTGTCCCCCCCCCGACCTCCAGAGTGCATCTCTTCCAGCACACCCCAGGACACCAATTCCGTGTGCGCTCGCTGCCTATTTTTGTGGATTTGTGAAAAGGTTTCCTTTTATCTTTTCCCCTGGTTTAATGAAGTGCATTAAAATAAGCTTAGAGCTTACCCTATTCTCAGTGTATGCTGTGTTGGGCCCTGACTAGTGTGTTGCGTTAAAAACAGAGCAATCATGGCCAGTGTGATGGGTACTGGAGGGACGAGACTGAGATGAGAGGGAGTAGAGCCGGCCCAGACCGCACACCCAACTACCCCCACTGTAGGATTTCATTAATTCAAATAGTTAATTCTGATATTATATAAACAATGATAAGGAATATTAATATAGCAATATCATTAATATCATTATTATTATTATCATCACTGCTAGTGTGATAAAATACATACTGTAGTTCTAAAATACATAGATAACCTACACACCTACACACACACACGCACACACACGCACACTCAAACATACACACTAATAATTAGTTATATTGTGTTTTTATTTTTATTTTTTTCATTCCTTCTCTCCTTTCCCCCTACATAATCTTTTTGGGATGTACATGTAGGGTTTTTATATCAGTGGAGATTATAAGTGTATTGATTATTATAAGTGATTGATGAAGTGTTTCCAAGTCCTGAAAGGCTGATATATTATTCTGTTTTATAGCAGTTTGTTGTTCGTGTCGCATGTGATCCGAGATGGCATTCAGCCAGTGTTTTATGCTACATGCTTTTTTGTTTTTCCAGTTTTGAAGTATAAGCTTCTTGACTTTTAAAACCAAAGTATTTCCCATAAAATAGTTCAAATTTGGGAAAAAAACATAACGATCCTCCTCCCTCTGGTGGCAGCAGAGGGAATTACAAGACATTATTTCACATTTTAAAACATTTAAAATCTCTTATCAAGGACAAAAAATTGCGTAATATTTCTTTTTTTAAAGTCAGTTTTTTCACAACCAGGTTTATGATTATAAACAGTCACACTTTAGTTTAGCCCTCACCGATTATCATCTAATTAGTGTATAATTTATAGTTTATTAGCTCTTAGTTGGTATTTATTTTCTTAGTTTGGTAGAGCATTGGCCT